CCGCATTCTGAAGGAAATTCCTTGTCAAAATTGCTGTGTGGGGTCTGGCATTGTCGTGTTGGAAGATCAAACCGGGTCCATGTGCTGCTATAAAAGGCAGAAGTTCTGGTGCCAGTACCTGGTCGCTGTAAGCAGCAGCGTCGAGGTTGCCACGGATGACAAGAAGCCTGGAACGTGCATTGCCACAGAAAGCACCCCACACCATGACACTTCCGCCTCGAAATCTGTCAACTTCCTGTACACAACACTGGGCGTTACGTTCATGACGGCGCCTCCACACCCTCGCCCTACCATTAGCAAATCGAATATTAAATCGGGATTCATCACTGAAGACGACTTGATTCCAATCCCTCTGAGTCCATCGTAAGTGTCGCTGTGCCCACAATTGACGTTGACGTCTGTGTAATTGAGTCAGAATCGGCCCGCAGTACGGCCGTCGTGCTTGAAGGTGAGCGGTTCTCAGACGGTTTTGAACAGTTTGCGCACTCAGTCTACCCCTAACCAGTTCATTTCTGGTTGATGTAGCCGTCAAAAATCGGTTACGGAGGTGACGTAAGACAATCTGACGATCGTCTGCATGTGACGTCACACTTGGTCGACCTGGCCGAGGGCGATCAGCGGTGGTACCCGTTTGCTGTAGACGCGTCTGTAAATCATTAACAGTCCGTCGACTACAACCCATCGTCCTTGCGACTTCAGCTACGGACGTTCCCGTCTGCAACATGCCGATGGCACGTTCACGTTGCACATTTGAAAGGCGTGGCATGATAAATGGCCGTAAAGACTTTTGTTTTCTTGTGTTTTTCTTTTTTTGTTAATGTCTGCTAACAAGTGTGCCTGAAAACACGTGCGGTATTATGGCCACGTGACCAGTTGCACGTGAAAAAACACTTTTGCCACTATAGTGCTGTGCACATGATTTTGATCGTTTCACCTGCACAAGAACGGAGGGTATCTGAAGACAATACGTGGCCATAACTGTTTAAATACACAATAAGGGCCCACAATGATAACTGGTCAAAATGTTAAGATTTTAGGATTGTGAAGTTTTTAATTTGGTTCAGTATATATTACCATGTGAAACACCTTCAGCCACGATTTGTGCGAGTGCTGTAATTATTGATTACTCATGTAGAGTTAGCACATATTCTAAGTTAACGGTGACAAAAAGACGTCGCTTACAATATCAAGCCTACAAATACAATTTGCTAGTTTGAAACTGGAGTAGCAACAAAGAGTTTGCCTCTGTGTTGATGCCTCGCGTCGATGTTTTCTCCTTTCAAGCTGTCAACCGTGTTTCTTAATCATGTTATTACATATTAATATTGATGCCGTGTTCTTTAAACAAATTTAATATCACCATTATCTCATACCAGGACTTGTTCTTGTTCTGGTGATGCCACAGACTGATGACACATTTCTGAGCAGAGAATTCTTTAACTGTCAAAGACATAGTAAAGGGTTGTCTTGTTTACCAATCGATAATTATGGTTATGAAGTATCATAACAAGCTTGAGGAGCCAATGATAATATTGATCATGCGAAATTGAAACATCGTAAATATAACGATGTGTCATTAGCATGGGCTGAGTTTGAAATATCCGATTATTGCACGGGTGCATTGCTTTTAATATTAGGTGCAGTCTGTGTTGCCGTAACACTTATGGAGGTAACGCAGGACAGCCTTCACCCTGTCAGGTTCACGCTGGTGCATGGTGTAGATGCGTTCCATTACGCTTTAGAAATCACTCAATTGACCTGTTCTCCTCTGTGGTTTCATCTTCAAAAAATAGCATCAGGAAGAAGTTGAGCAAATTGTGTAAAACAGTTACGACAGAATTTAGACAATTGCGGGTTACGTTTTTGAATTTTAGAATAAGAAACATCATCTTTGTGTATTTGATAAAATCGATAGAATGTTACTTTTGCTATACTCTCCGAAAAGCGTAGGGAATATACGAAAATAACAGTGAAATGCAAATAGCTATCTGGTGATGGTAATGGATGGATAAGATTGGTTGGATGCAATTGGTGTGTTGATTTACGCTGCACTCAGCAATATTACAGCTATATGACGGCGGTCTGTAAATAATCGAGTCTGGACCAGACAATCCAGTGATTGATATCATGACTATCGATCAACGCAATTGGGATCGATTCAACCAAGTCAGCGAGTCTGACCACCCGATCCCGTTAGTCGCGTTTTACGACAAGCATAGTCACATTTTACGGCAAGTATGGGTTGATGAAGACCTATTCTACCCCGGATCATCACGGGTCGGAAGGATAAGTACATGAAGCACCTGGTATAACATGACAATCAACAGAACATGTTGGTAGTTTATAATAAGGATAGAAACAACCACGAAAGAAGACAGGGGGTGTAGTCAACAAAAGAACGTTTGAGTTGATTGGTGATTCAGTGATTGGTCATGCCCCTATGATTGGTCACACATTTGTTTATACGTCGTGGCATTGTCCGACCTAATCCCCCAATAACAATGTGAGGGAGTTTTGTCCAGTCCTCTTGCAGCGCCTGGCCGAGTCCGGCTGGCCTACCGGGTGGCCTTTGACTTCTGAGAACATATCTCAGGTTCATGTCTCAGACGTGCTGCATAAGGAAAAGGTCAGGACTCATGGCTGGCCATTATATTCTGGTGATGTTCTGCTGCTGGAGGTGGTCAGTTGCGATTGCGAGTTACCCTCTTGAAAAACAAAGTAGACTAGCATGGCGCTCAAACGGCACAACCATTGACGCCAGAATGTTGTTTTCGTAGTACTGTCCAGTGACTCTTCCAAGGATTCCTATCGTTTTGTGGAGTATTTCTTAATTTGTTTTGGATAACATGCCTACTTAACCAATATCCGCCTTGTGATCTATTGTCAGGTCTTGACATATATGTTCCACAATGACCACGCATACTTATACTGTTATAGTGAACTACTTAATGGCCGTTCGAGGCAAGAGATACGATCGGCTGATCCTCCATTCCAGGTCGCTATGTTGACTTTTCACAATCGGTATTTAAAGTGTTACCCTTGATGTTTGAATTCCGGAATCTTAAGCACGTTACATATTTAAACTTGGCAGGTACCCATATGAACGTCGCATTATCGCCGATGCGATTAGTACAGTGGCTATGCGACGGTACGCGAAATTTGAAGATCTTTCACAGAATGTTAACCTGGTCAGACAATTGTTGATTTTGACAGCAACATTAGATATATATAAGTGAGAGCGTTCAGAAGAATTGTGCTGAAAAAATATCAACTAAATATCAAAGTAGAAAAAGATGGAAATAAAAACAAAAATCAACTTTCCATGAAAATAAGAAATATCTGCTAATAGCATAGTCCACTGCACGATTTCGACAACACTATCCGCATATGGTCAAGTCGTATAGGGAATGGGGTTCAGCCGCACTGCCACCTAGACCAGATTCATACTATGAATTATTATATCAGTGATGACACTCGCCACACAAAGGCAAGCCAACCGTTCACCCGAAAAACACAAGAACAGGAACAGGGGAACACATGGTACACGACTCAAGCCGAGTCTAGGAACCCTTCCAAACACGAACTCTGCCATCTGATGCGTCAAACTCGGATTTTGGCTGGGATATAGCTTGAATGTGTGCCACGTTAAACAACAAACAATTATACAAACAATACACAGTGGTGACAATCATTTTAAGATTATGTTTGAACCGGTTAATGTAGAAAATATCACAATGTCAATTTCAACGATCTTTATTGGAACTACATAGTTTTCACAATAACATATGCATATAGAAATAAAATATAAAAATATAAATATTTACAGTCACACTTTGAAAATGCAGATTCGATATTTTGTAAATATTTGGCAAAGTGGCCACAACAATCAGGTTAAGTTGTTATGGGTATTTAAACATGATATAATCAAACACCACAATGTCAACGTAAGGGTTCGAATCTCATATAGAGTGTTTAGAGATCGACTTGAACAAAAAACGTTTCTTGTCTAATGCATAATTATGGAATTGCACTGTGCGTCAGTATAAATACATGTATACAAACCGTTACCTTAAAGCTATAATAATTACACACGCAATATACACATGTTCTAAAGGTCGAGTTTGTCATCTATAAAATTGATGAAGCTAAGAAAACCGTCTGGTTTCATTCATTGTGTTTAATTGAACGCGGAATACACAAAGGTGTTGGCCAAAAGGTAATTCATAATATGCATTGAATTGTGCTCCCAATGGTGAATACCACACGGGTAACTGCTTGCTGTACAAATTATACACAATCAAATCTGTACAATAAGACGTTCATTGTCGTCCCAACGGAAGTTGCCTGGATGAAAAAAACCGAAATACTGATGCAAATTAATGCACTGGAAATGCATTGAAAGTGATTCTGTGGCATTTGTTTGGCTAGCCAAGCAATTATTTTTGCGTTTCTTTAATTAAGAGACAACTACTACTAACAGGGTACTGTTCCCTGATGAGCTGATAACAGAAGGGCGGGACTTGTGTCGCATTTCTGCTCTGAACGATGTCACGAATTTCGTCTACATTGATCTACAGTTTCTATGTTTTACTGAATAAATAAGCAGTCAAGAAATTATTATTGTTTGCGTATTTATTTATATGAATTGACCTCAATATGGTTTTGCTTCGGTGGAGTTAAAACATCGGAGGGTAATCTTAGCGAGTTACACAGTATGCACACGGGCTTTTCCGTTTATACCTCGGAAGTCAATTAAAGTGTATTCTTAAATATTCATATATGTAAATGTCCCTCACAGAAACCGCCGGAGATTGGGTGGTGGGGGTGGAGGGTCGGTGTTTGTATTTATGGGGTTTCACTGTGCGAAAAGTCTACGTGAATAAACAGCCATCAGAAATAAATATACACTCGTCTTTGATAGTGGCTTGAAAATGAAATAAGCATTGCGATTCGATGGTGATACGGGTATCATATTTGTGTTTCGGGCCTCAACTTTTTTAGTATTCCTGCGAATTTGTCAGTCTGGTAACGCTTTGATAATGTTTGTAATTGTTTAGTTAAATCCAAGTGTATACATTGTTTGCCCGGCAGGGTATTGTATTTGTTGCAATGGATTATCGGCTGATACATCATACACAGGACATAAACCTACAACCTGACGAGATCGAAGCTTCCACGAGCACCTCTGTCTGTTTTAAGGGCAGTTGTGTCATTGTGAAAGTAGATGTCACGTCCATCCTTCAGTCCGTCCATCCTCATGTCCAGCTCGACCATCTGTTCTTCTGTCTGACCCGCTGTGTGACCCAGCTTGTTCGCGTAGTGAGAGGGAATCTCGGTCATCACCTGATGGTTCCTTTGAAGGGGGTTCTTTGGAACACTGGAGTGGGTTGACCTTGAGGAATGATGTCGACTGATGGTTTTGCCCTCTCCCGCTGATTTTAGATCTGTCGAATCATTATCTCCAGAATTGCCAAAAAAGAAACCATGAGATAATACATCTGGCTGAGGAGTGGCGCGGTGGAACTCCTCGTCCATTCTTGGCACTGGGGCAGGGTAGCAACGGAAACTAACCACGTGGCCAAATGAGCCAGTTGCCAAGGAGTGAGTGTCTCTGGGGAGAGATGAAGCATTCAGTATGTGCAGCTTGTGGTGCTCCTTGTCCTTCATGATGCTGGCATAGAGGTCCTCCTGACTGACCGGAACATCGTAATCCTTCCCGCTACCGGACAGACTTACCTCCCGGAAGCTCTTGATACTTCTAGGCAAGCTGTAATCCAGCCTGCTGCGAGGAAGCGACATCGTACTGGATCCGTTGAAGGAGTAGGTCTGGAGCAAAAATAATTATTTGTTATGTTGAATGTCCATTGTGTGTAGTGTCCGTTATCACCACAATACAAAAATCTTTGTTTCACAAAGAAACTGAATGCGACTTTAACAACTATTGGTGTGTAATTTATATTCTCAGGTTCGAACATTAATACATCGTTCTTGCACACAGTATACGAGGGGTGGATGCAAAGTTCCAAGCTTCACTGCGAAGGATATACAGTACACCCGTGCCCGCTGGCATGTATAAATTAAAATACGTGCAACGCTTACATGCTACATTTGAACCAAATACACCACCAGGTGGTATATTGCTGCAGGCATCAAAGTAACTGGATAAAATTTACATCCGCGCCGTCATCTAGTATTTGCGTCTGACAGGACTAACTCCAACCGTCTTCCATGCGGACGTGGTGTCAGTTTTCGGTTGGTTGGTTGGTTGGTTTGTTGTTTAACGCCGCACTCGAGTCTGGACCAGACAATCCAGTGATTAATGTCATGAGCATGGATCCACGCAATTGGGATCGATGGCATGCATCAACCAAGTCAGCGAGCCTGACCACCCGATCCCGTTAGTCGCTTTTTACGACAAGCATAGTCACGTCAGTTTTCGGGATGCTCCTTCCTTTGCCTCTGTTAAGAGGTGGATAGTTGAGTTCAAGAGAGGAAGAGAAAAAAACCTTCAACTGCCATCACCAAGGAAAATGTTGATGCAATTTGTGCAATGATGTTTGATAATGGACGACTCACGGAACACCCGAGTACAGTAGGCATCTGTCATGGGAGTGTTGAGAACATTTTGATGAAGGAGAGGGGCATGTTCCAGCACGCTGGTTTTTAAGGCTTCTGACTGCTTATTCAGGTCACGTGAACGGCGTTTGACGCTGACCCGGCTGATTGAATAGAAACATCTAACGTCATGCCCTCTGAGGAAGCATCATCAGCTGGCAAGGTAGTGGCTTCGGTTATCTAGGATTCCGAAGGAATCCCACTACATTCCTAAATGTCATACTATTACTAGTCCATTGTGTTCTACTCTGCGTTGGCAATTGCGTAAGAATATCAAGGCCAAACGTTTTGAAAAACACACTTAAAGCGGTTGTTCCACCAGGAAAATCTCCTGTGCACAAGTCTGTTGTCGCCATTGTTGCAGTGCATGACTGTGGCGGGGCGGTCGGGTAGCCTTGTGGTTAAAGCGTTCGCTCGTCACGCCGAAGACCCGGGTTCGATTCCCGACATGGGTACAATGTATGAAGCCCATTTCTGGTGTCCCCCGCCGTGATATTGCTGGAATATTGCTAAAAACGGCGTAAATCCATACTCGCTCGCTCCCTCGCATGACTGTGGCGTGACTGAACGCATTGAGCATCCTCCGTACCCACAGGCCTGCAGGTTTCTCCCTGAAAGAGCTGTCCGACAGACACTATACCAATGATATCAGTTCTGCTGTGGGGGACTTGTTACACCACGAGGGGGAATCCTTCTACCTCAGAGGGAACCAGGAACTCCAGCACCGCTGGCACAAGTATGTGGATCTCGGAGGAGAATATGTTGAAAATATTTAGCAACCGATTCCATCAATGCAGTTTATCAGAACCTTTCAGCCAACCCTCGTTTTATACACTGTAAAACAGTTTCATCATATTTAGTATATACTAGTCTGCTTTGGGGCCTAAGCTAATATATTGTTGGTCATCTTATCTAGTCTATTAATGAATGTTTGTTCGTAATATGAAAAACAAAACCTCAACCCCGTTACATTTACTGATCTGATATATTCACATATAGTTTACTATATATTAGGTTTTATGTTTAATCCTTCATACGTCAATAGTGTGGCATACTTAAGCCTCATCGTATGATTTTTTTTCTCAAAATGACAAGATACTTACATTGTGTAAACGATGCCACTGCAATATAAACAAACGTAATATGTTATTATGAACGTGATGTTAATATGTCGATGCGAAAATTTATACTCTCTCGAGTATACCAAGTGACTTATTTTCAAAGTATGCACTGTTATAGCTATAGTGTGCAGACAAAGATTATAAGTTGTCTTCGTGTGTAGAAGTTGACAACTTAAACAACACGGCCGACTCACGTTACAAATACAAAATATTACCAGTCCATCGGGTTTACCATTTCATGACGTCAATGGCGCTCGGCAATAACGGAATAAAACAAGACTCGTCGGTCAGGAGACGGCATGGTGGGTCTGAGTGGGGTATTCATGCTAAACTGCGGCATGGCATTTCAGTGGGCTAGCGCGCACGCACGCACGCACGCACGCACGCACACACACACACACACACACACACACACACACGTGCTGCATAACTGCAAACGTCCTGGACGCGATCTAACATATTCAAGATATTTTTTTATTTAGTTATGTCTAAATAAACTGTTTTCATTGTTCTTGTTATGAGTTCAATGCGTTAATTGATGATGACTACGCTGACGTGTTAGTTAATTACATTTGTTCTTGCTTGTAAAGCAGTGATACACTTACACCCCTCCATTTCAAGTAAAGGTGGTCTCCAATTTTAGCCTACTTGACTTTAAACTGTCCACGTCTGTGCGTGGAATATGCAGAATAGATGTACGTTTGGGACACTTGTGTATATTATTGTCGTCTTGGATAAGCATTGGCTTGAGAACACAAACACAATACGTAATGGTGGTGTCAAAAACTCAGTTATAAACTTAATATTTTCAAAGGTGATGATCATTATCTGTGCGCAGATTTTGATACAAAGAGGCCGGAAATGAGTCATGATCCGTGTTTCAGTGCTTAAACTAACTTGGGCGATAGGGTAGCCTAGTGGTTAACGCGTTCGCTCGTCACGCCGAACACGTGTCACTAAGATACATATAGCTTTGTGCAAGTGGACCGTGGCAATTATTAAATTCCAAAACACGTTGTGTAGTTTTCCATGTATCATAAGATATTTTGAATGGACAGAGTGTGTCCTTCATTAGCTCCGAGCTCCAGTTACTGATACGTATACATTTAAACATTGCCCTGTTGAACTAACAAAGTCCTGAGTAATAATAAAAATAAAGTGCATTTATAATGCGCCAGATTCCATTCACCAAGTGGATGTTCATGGCGCTACACTATTATTACCCCGGTCAATGGATCAGTGAGTACTCCCTGGGGAGTATACAGCCCAAGCTGCCCATGAGGCGCTAGAAGGTTTACAGCCACATTGCCATCTCATCCTACCGGGTACCCACTCACTGCTGGGTGATGGAGAATTCACTTTCGTGTCTCTGATACAGGAGAGGAACAGAGAAGGATCAGCCAAGGCCTACATAATTAATTGTAAAATAAATATTTTGAGTGAGTCTGTGGCATTTGATTGACTTATCAAGATTGTTTATTTGTTTTTTTGTTGTTTAACGCCGCACTCAGCAATATTCCAGCTATATGACTGGAGTCTGAAAGATTCGAGTCTGGAACAGACAATCCAGTGATTGACATCATGAGCATCGATCCACGTAATTGGGATGAACCTAGTCATCGAGCCTGACCACCCGAATCCGTTAGTCGCCTTTTACGACAATCATAGTCGCCTTTTACGGCAAGCATGGGTTGCTGAAGACCTGCTCTACCCCGGATCTTCCCGGGTCGAGTAATCAAGTAATTGTGTTGAGTTTATGTTTCTATGAACAAAACTGTAAATTATGACACGCCCACTAATTGATAATTGTGTTAATTTTGACGTATTTATTTTGAAGAATAGACTTCAATATCTGTTTTGCGTTTTTGAAGATTTAGACGTAAAAACCCATGTACACAGTTTGCTTAAGTTCACTACGCAACGCGGATTTAGATAATGTACATATGCACGCTGGGGTTTACGTTTATACCTAAAACACGTAAAAAATATTAAAGTCAATTGTAAAAGGCATGCCGTTGATAGATAACAGTATAGTTTCTTCCCACATTGGTTACATGTGTGTATTAAATTTGTGTATTTGTGTAACATGCACTTATACGTATCGTAATGATACGTGCTGCTTCTGTCATTCTACATGACGCATGCAAACTGTTATCGAAGCGGATATGACGCGTGACGAGCGAACAGTCATTACATATCCGCCAGACCCGCGAGGATCCTGCAGCCTCTGTTTCATGTCAGTACATTTGCCATATCTTGCATCCACTTGTATCTTTAGGTACATGCTCACCTGATCATGGGTACAATGCGTGAAGCCCATTTCTGGTGTCCCCCGCCGTGATATTTCTGGAATATTGCTAAAAGCGGCTTAAAACTCACCCACTCACCTATATGCATAATCTGTTGAAAGAACGTACAATAATGCAATATATGAGAAATACATCTTTATTAATCTGATATGTACACATGCAAACGTATAAAAATACAAACACCGATTTATATACATAAGGGACATAGCAACTACATGCTTGACATGGCGCGCAGTGCCAAGCGATAAGCGGTGATATAACACGCAATATAGCTATAGACGCAGGCAAGTGACAATTTGCTGGATGGAAGATTACACTGCTGTTCATGCACATGCAAAATCGTAACAGCTTGCAACATACAGATACAGACACAAATGATTATCAAACGTTCCCATAATGCTGTGGAAACTGAATTCTTTATTTAAGACGAGGTGACCACATGGTCCATGTAGAAACCTAATCGGTGCCATCTCGAAAAGTGAAAAATGTTATACATTTATGAGTCACCAATCTTCAATCTAGTTGAAAGTGAGGTTTGTCATCTGTGAGATGACTTCGGTATGCAGAGAGTTTTATTTAAAGATGTAGTGATTCATTGTTAAAACATATGGCGTGGCTGTATGTAGCATGAACTAAGCAGGGTATAATGACTATATACAGTGATGGATTTGTTTTATCCAGGTACAAAGCTAATAAAAGTAGAAAAGTAGAAACATACGCACGTAAATTCGACATATAATACACATTGCATGTAATATTGAGTCTCGTGATATCACAATCTCATGCTACGAGTTGCGTTTCATGGACTAGGTTGAAGTTTTCAAATATAGAAAGAGTTTGAAAATTGTACATTCCTAGATAGCCCAAGCTCTGAACGTAATTCTGAACAATGGTATTATCAACACCAATTCTATAAATGATCACAGAGTTAACAGAGATTCATCCATTAGGACCGTTAGAGCGAGCAAGGCTTGAACTCGTACACCTCTCTAGAAGGTAGTACATAAGTCGACGGCGAGCGAATCTCTGAAACCAAGGGAGACAACTCATCAGTGTGGGCGTCAGCGAAATTAACAATATTAGCGTTAATTTGCCTGCGTCCTCCTACCAGAGTTATCTGCCTTTGACGAAAAGCAAGGTGAAGGACAACGTGTAAAGCTATGAACACAAAACACAAATTAGACAGCCTTGAAGATTCACCGATAAAGACTATTCTGACTTGCATATATAGTTTACAACCTTTGCTACATGCACATGCATAAACATTCAGTTTATATATACGTGTTTGACATTTTGGGCACTTGGTCAATAGTGATGGAGTACGCAGTTGATATTTTTAAAAGTGTTATGGGAGCCATTGCATATTGTTTTTTTGTATATTTTTGTGTATGTCAACACACTCGTACTCCATCAACATTGAAACCAAGTCATGTCGATATGTATATATGACGTTCAGCATGCTTCCTGGTATTAAAGCACCATGCTTTCTAGACAACCGTGGTTCTGCTACTTCAGATTCCACGGCCGTGTACCTTTTCAAGCTTCTGTCTTCGTCGTCGTTGTACGAGTAGTGCGACAACGAGGGCAACTAGAATGAGGATGATGGCAACAGCAATGGCTATGCCGACGATGCCTCCAATGCTGATGAGGCACAAGTCGGAGCCGTCCCCGCAGTTGTCGAAGCCATCGCAGTAGAGGTGGTCGGCGATACAGAGCCCGTTGTGGCAGTTGTATTCACCGGGGTCACAGGGTCCTTTGACAACAGTAATAGTGTTGTGTTACAGTGATATGGATGAATAAACGAAATAAACAGATTGAAATAATTTGCATACAATAATACGGATTACAGAGGAACATGTCAACGTGGGGATGGTGCTCAAGCATGAACGACTGTCATTCTACTGTATTCAGCGCATCGATCTAAGCAATTGGGATACGGTGACAGGCATCAATCAAGTCAGCGAACCTGACCACCCGATCCCGTTAGTTGCATCTTACGACAAGCATAGTCGCCTTTTACGGCAAGCATGGGTTGCTGAAGACCTATTCTATCCCGGATCTTCACGGTTCTATATAAAACAACATTTTCAAAAGAAGTAGGATAGATATTTCAGCCGGGGTTTGGCGCAATACCTTTCTTGTAGGCTGTGAAGACGACCTCAAACTGGTCATTCATGTAGTCCAGCTTCTTGGCGAACACCATGGACGCTGATGGTTGCGTGGTGATGAAGGCGACGTCTGGAGTGGTGTAGCCACATATAGCATCTGTAGAACATAACCTGACTGTACATAGACCTTATATATAAGAGAGGAGTAATTTCAAGATGCTACCAGGATTGACGAGGTTTCATTGTAAGGATAATTACACATTAACTGTCGAACAAAAGAAAAAAATACAAATGAATTTGGCCAAAAGATAACAAACGTTATCAAAACGTTACAAGAGCTGAAACCGCAGGGGCCAAACACAACGATGATACCTGTATCAAATACATCACCATCGAATAACCAGTGATTGTTTCATTTATAACACCCTTAAGATGGGTGCATATACTTTATTTTTCCCGGCAGCTTATGTTCTATGCAAACTTTACAAGTTATGGGTTTAATGAGTAACGAGTAGAGTATTCATGACATAACTGATGTGAAGTTCCGCAGAGGATATGATACAGTGAAACACTGATGTAAATGATGTTACTCGTGAATGAGAAAAAGATGATAATTTTATAATATTTTGTGTTTTGCTTCTGGAAATATTAAACTAATCCTGGGAGGTGAGTGAATGAGTTGGGTTTAACGCCGCTTTTAACAGTATTCCAGTTATATCAAGGCGTGTCAGCTTAATGTGGTAGAAAATCCCGAAGTGATGCAGGTCTTAGACGTTTACCACTTCGGTGAAACCCAAACGTTTCTGGCGTGCCCAAGGGACGCAACTCTGCACAGCGAATCGCAGCGCCTGAGACGACTGGGCCACCCGTGCCCCCAAATCGTGGGGGGTAAGATCAGAGGAATCACAATGTAAAATGCATGTGTATTTCTTAGGGACGCCTTCGAAGTAGAGCGTCCGCCTGGAGAGCGGAAGGTCCGGGCTTCGATCCCCGGCCGCATCATACCTAAAGACTTCAAAAGATGGTACTTGTTGTTACCCTATCTGGCGCTCGGCATTAGGGGGCTAAAACAAGGACTGGTCGGCTCGAAATCAGTATACGGTGTCTGAGTGGGGTATTCATGTTAAACTGCGGCATGGTATCTCAGTGGCATCAGTCCGGACTAGTACAAGCAGCCACACACACACACACACACACACGTGCATGCACATCTCTATATAAGTGCTATAATCTTGGATTTCAACTTCACCTTCACCTTCAGATCTTAGATAGACACATATCTATCATTTATACTTTTTTTCATTGACAGGAAATCCATTTTTATGGGATTTAACTTTTAAAATATAGATAAAACCTTATAAGTGTATCTATATCAGAAGGACATTGCTAGCTTCTGCACTACGTGTGAGTTTCCGCATCATTTGGTTGATGCTGTAATTTCATGTCGCTAACCTCGCTGCAACAGTATTTCCGTCAGTATGTTGTGACCTGTCTGTCAACACCAGGCATATGTTTGTGTTGCTGTAGAATTATAACATACAGTTGGATCCTGATAATGAAACTTACTACTGAGAGGATTGGCTGAAGTCGCTCCGTCGAAAAACTGGATGTAGTCCCTGGCGCATCCAAACGGGGCCACGATGTCCAATCCGGTAACTTTAATGATCAGCCGCCGTGGATCAGGTGCGCGGATGAATATAACACAGTTGAAATTGATGAGGCCTATTTCCGGGCGTCTGAGAAGCAACCGACCAGATTGGATGCCAAGGGCTTGCATATCGATTGTATTGCCGCATATCTCGTCCAGGTAATCTGAAAATGGTGTGATCATCACATTCCATCAATTAAGTAAAAGGATTGACAGAACAGTAATTATCATTAGAGGTGATAGTGGCATCACAGTATGATGGAACTATTTTCAGTGAGTGATTTCAAATTCTATCGGAATTGTGTCGCCAGAAAGGCTATAGTATTAATTGCGGACGTGTTAAATAGTTTACAATATTTTTTAATATCCTTAAGAGCTTAGACAATATTATGTATAATGTTGTGTTCTATTATGCTACCAAAACTGGCGTGTAATAAACAGTAAACTACAGTTATTACGAACTCAAAGGGACCACTAATTTTAGTTCGCAATAACGGTAGTTCATTACAAGCATATATACAACATATATGCAACAAAAGGCCGGGACTTAAGAACAAGTTCGTTAAACCGGTCAGTTCGTGATAAGAGTGTTCGTAATAAACGTAGTTTACTATATAACATCAACGCCAGAGAAACATCAGTCTCGATGAACTGCCAAAACTGATTCAATTGGTGACAATTGTAAGAATGGGTGACAGAAAGTCTGTAATCACACCAGGGTTTCACGGAAAGTGTGTCCATGGCCTGCCCTAAAGTAATCAAATAAACTATTACGCAAAGATATCAAACAGTAAACATATCGAGTGGTTTTGGTATAATTGTAAAATATTTTCTGTATAATACATTCGGGATCACACATGTAACTGTCAGCTCGTGCATACAACCGTCTCGACCCAGCAAGATCGTGAACCCGAAAAATATAGCATAAGTTTTTGTTGCAGTTACAAATAACGTGTAGAAAATAATTGTAGTGTTATTATTACGGTCTGTAAGCTGAATTTGGTCAATTATACCTTGAAAGTGTTGTTATCCCTTTCAAATACTTACAAAATGTAAACAAAATCAAATTGCAGGAAATGTATCAGTAGCAGTATATTTCGAGTTCAGGGATAGAGTAGCACCTTAAATATTCTCACACTTATTTCAAAAATAAACACAACCGCCGTAATTGTTCAGGGACGCAAATTAACGCTGGAAATGACCTTTTGACGGAGCGGGTAATTAGCGAGATACCTCCTACATCAGTTTCTTCCCAAAACGATAGCCGTGCAACCTTATCCGAATCAATCAATCTCTTGCAGCATTCACGAGATGCCAATCTCCAAATACCCTCGATGCTGACAGCTTAACTAATTGATTTCGCACATAACGGTAACAGATTAAAGATTACCTTTGCCGGAAGGCAGTATCCGTCGCGCGTGCTGCGATGATCATATTTTCACATCGCAGCAAATAGGATTACGGGAAACAGCCGACCGACCATATATTTCAATTATCTAACATTAATTTTTTTTCAGATTTAAAGTAAAAGTAGGATTATTGTAATCTTTGTGGGATAAGATATTAATTGATAAATGTCATCAAATATGATACATGTAAGATGCCTTGTCAATATTATAAATATTCATATGCTTAATCATCTCATTTGGTTCAGTTATTGAAAATTCTGCCATGAATTTGGAAATTATTCGACTCTGATTGGTCAGTCAGAGGTTTTCGAATCACAATAAAACCCTCTGGTTGAAACATCGATTTAAATTGACGGCCGCATCACCGCGGAAACTATTGCGGTCATGGACATATGTAAATAATTATCTGTTCAATTATAGATTACAAAACGCAAAGTTGCGGTTACTACACTATTCAAAGGATACGTGGTAATACATTTTCGCAGGGCCAACATGATAGATTCCAACAAAGAGAATGTATTTCAAGTTTTTGGGACGACACGGAGCTTGGTATTTGGCGTTTTTCTATATACGACTGTGACGTCATATCTTTTGCGGCACAATGAGCGATGCGACGTCAAAATAACTACGTGCGGCGTAGAGTGAAACATGGCATGCTTAGTTTTGTCTAGGGATGCCCACCTCATGTTAGCCTACCACGTTGCTGTGCTATATGCTTTCACTGCCTGTCTAATGTTTGAGTGAAGTATCACGGTGTAATCAAACTGTTTGGGCATATAAAGCGCCATATTTTGTTTTAAGGCCGTTGGCTGGGATTCCGTAATTCAGATCGAAAACCCACGCAAAACACTGGACTCAACCAATGCCCCTTGACACCAAAGAATTCGCGCTTTATTTTGCCAAGGTGGAATGGAGGTAAACATACTGTGTCTTCAATGTAGAGCTAGGTTACCTGTAGGTATAATCACGCTAAATTTAACATTTGAAACCCACGCTACACCTTCGCTTCCAAATTAACGCAGTTAAATTTCCCCACATGTTTTAAGCCCATTTCTGGTGTCCACCGCCGTGATATTGCTGGAATATTGCTAAGCAGTGTACAACCATACTCACTCACTCACCATATATAACACCGCTTACGCTTACCAATAACAACTGACTCCCACAGGCTGTAGTCTTTTTGATTGAGATAGGTTGCAACCTTCACCGTGCCAATTCATATATACTGAAAGCAACTAATCACTTACCTATCTACAGATGAGACTAAGGTTATAATTACATGTGCTCACATTCTCACATTTCTTTCTCGTTTCAGAAATACAATCATTATCAACTGCATTGTGCACATATATTTTGTCAAAAAGGATAGTGTGAGGGTTAACGGCGGTATCCCATTTGCACCAATATTTGTATAGTGATGGCGGTCATCAGGAACACAACCCAATGAACAACCCATTGCTCCAAAATGTCTTGAATTTAGTTCAATGGCCGATCCAATAAGTACCTGGTATTTTTCATTGTCGATCAATGATGCAAGTAACAGTTGGTAAAGACTGGGGAAAGTATGACAAATTAATATGACCTACATGTATATGGTACATTCAAGTATATTATTTCGTACCACGAATCATTTAGTTTGTCAGTTACCATTTCAATGAGTTGTTTTTAAAATGTTTGCCAATGTGTAATGAAATAATAATCTTCAAAACAACATATCACAAACACAGGCAAAGGCAATTCAATGGTTCACCTGAAAAAAAGCCATAGGTACATATGGTGTCAAAATAGGGAAGTACAATTTTGGAAATGTATTCAACATGACCGCATTAAAACGTTTGTGAAGGTTTGGTAACCTATTTTGGAAGAGAATGCAAGTTGTGGCATGCTGACATCAAAGACTGGAGCTGTGAAATATTGCTCGGCAAGGGAACGTTGACAAGTGGAAAACTAAGGTCATTCGTTTTGCCATAAAGTCGGGTGGATATTTATTGTCACTCTGAATCTTTTTTTTCATGTATCTAAATATGAAACTGGTGCCTTTTTTATTTCTTGTTCAAGTGAATAAATCAATGGAAGATAATTGGCTTTTTGACCTTCTTGAACGATATCAGACCATCGATATACATGGCTAAATAAAAAGGAAAAAATTTGTTTCCATTCTTATAGGAATTCCCTCCCCCCCCCCCCCCCCCCCCCCCGTAAGCAGAGTCGATTCCTCTTGTCCCACATACTTTCTGCGAATATTAAGCAAGCCAGTCCTTGGTTGTGAAAAGTCATATGGTGAATCTGTGAGACACGGATTCGGTGGTACCTTTGCCAGACCCGGCGATGTATCTATATATGAACTGCATATCAGTGCAAAAGGGGAACGGATTTGACACAATCCCCCAACCCAAATAGCTTCCCGACGACTGGCACAAGAGGATGTGTGTTTCATCATTACACTGTGTGTGTGGACTAGGACATTTTTCATGAAACTAACTGGGAGAATCGAAAGTCATCCTGTTTTAGAATTCAGTATGTATTGTAACTGCAGTTTACCATAGACGTGTAATGTTTGATTCTAATCATTCGACCAATGTAATTAATAATTGTGAATGCTATTAATAAGGCACTGTATGATAAACATTTGAGTTAATTTTCATAACAGTGTATACATTTCTCAAAACATTCAATGTCTTAGCAAAGCTTTCAAAGACTTTCACTGTAGACATGTAGAGGACAACTTCAAATCGGAGGCATCAGTGATACGAATTATGCAATTCCCTATTTTGCTTTATACCATATGTGCCCATGTGCTCCCCGTGTTTGTTTCTTGGTGAACAGTTGACATGCCTTTGCCTGTGTTTGTGACAAGTGCTAACAGTGTGGCAGGATACGCTCACCTTTTTCGCGAACACCTGGTATCATCACTTTTTGATAGTGATTCATAAACAATTGCTTATAATACAGTCGGAATCATACTATAAACTTATGATTTCTTAGGATTATGCAAAGGGTTTTGTCGCTTTCATTATTAAGCTAAAAATACATTAAGCATTGTTTTTTCAAAATCTATCGTCTATTATTTTTACTATAATTACCTAAATAAAGAACAAATAACTGTGGTGCATATATTATTTCTGTTTTAGTATGATGTTTTTGAATATAATATGAATTATTATAATACACACGTATTATCCAATTATACTTACATGTTTCAGTTTCTACAGCGAATGTCTCAACGAAAATCCCGAACAAGAAGCAACACAAGAACCACCTTCCCAGCGCCATGTTGTCACGGTGTGATATGCAGGTCCCAAGAGAAACTGTCCAGCAATCTCACCAGGTTACTTTTATAGACATATTTCCCTGGTGTCGCCGGGCGTCACGCGTAGTGAACAGGTGACCGAGTCAGGCGAATAATCATAGCTGTCAATCGTCCACGTAATTAGTAATGACTTTTCTTTATTGACTGTCACTTAAAGCCAAAGGGAAATACTTTGACGCTTACACAGTTTGTGTTAATTAATAGTTATGATATGTATCATAGTTAGAGTAAGAACAAAAATATGGATGGGTGAACGTGTTTGTGTCGAATATGCGTGATGTAACGAATATTCAAGGCATAACGTTTTGCTCAATACGGCAAACTCAAAAAGATGATCTTCAAGCTCTTACCATGCAGTCTGACCGTTACTGAATGCTATTCATTATCTTGTTAGAAAATAACTTTTGGAATTCGTTTAAAATCCACATTTTAATTTTACCCGAAAGCTAAAGCAGCTACAATGACAATGACCTGTGATCGACACCTATAAACATTAAAGACATGTATGTATTAAACAAACACTTCCTATGAAATACATAATTTATAAACTACCGGGGAAAAGAAAGTGTGCACTTGAACATTGGATTTGACCAAATAATTACCACGTGACTCGGCTGACCACAGTCACTGAAACACAGCAAAGATTCAAAACACAGCTACAATTGATGCATCATACCCGTAACAAGTACATCCCCAAAACACAGCAAAGATTCAAAACACAGCTACAATTAATGCATCATACCCGTATCAAGTACATCACCAAAACACAGCAAAGATTCAAAACACAGCTACAATTGATGCATCATACCCGTATCAAGTACATCCCCAAAACACAGCAAAGATTCAAAACACAGCTACAATTGATGCATCATACCCGTATCAAGTACATCCCCAAAACACAGCAAAGATTCAAAACACAGCTACAATTGATGCATCATACCCGTATCAAGTACATCCCCAAAACACAGCAAAGATTCAAAACACAGCTACAATTAATGCATCATACCCGTATCAAGTACATCACCAAAACACAGCAAAGATTCAAAACACAGCTACAATTAATGCATCATACCCGTATCAAGTACATCCCCAAAACCATTTCTTATTTGTTTCCCACCATCAAACATAAGCGTAGATTATATACAGATCGAAGTGTGAGTTGGTGTAATTACATGAGGAACAACATAACGTGAGTGGGCGTAATGACGGTCACAGACTTTTATGGTGCCGACAGACCAAGCATTCAATTCAAAGTAGACCCGGTTTTCAATTTCGAACCACAGATTGCCGGATCCTGGTCCATCACGCAAGACCACGTTAACTTTGCGTGGCGACACAGTTACACAGAGTTAATGAATTATACATCCACCATTATCATTTGCGTTGCAGTTTAATGTCCCGTCAACCACCCACCTGGTCATATAAATAAATGCGGCGTTAATCTCTGAGACATCCGAACAAGAGTGTGTTTAGTGACCACCGAGACTGTTTGTTGAGGGTGAACGGTTGATGTCCTTCGTGATTAAACCAGGGTCAAGACGCAGGTGTACCAGGTTTACACTTCGTAGAACGTGAACGCCTGCATGCTTCTCTGTCTGGAAACAGTTGCTAGGAGAGTAGTAGGTAGTGGGAGATGGTATGTCCCTTCCTTCAGTCCACGCCCGTCACCTTGACACCTTCACCATAAAAAGAGGCTGGCGCCGGAATAAGAGTTATCACAAAGTGGAATGTTCGGGTTTTTTTCCGTAGGGGTATTTTGTGCATTATCGACTTTTAAAATTGTCGACTAACGCCATGATTAATTTACAAAATAGTTTCGAAATCTATTTCATTTCCTTTGTCGTTCAGTAGATATAGCAAAGACTTTGAAGTTTGAATATTATGTATGTACACGAACAAGGGAAATGTGTGCGAGCGTGTGTAATCTACATGTGTAGGGGTGTGTGATATATGTAATAAATGTAACATGCACGTACAATCTGCATATGTAGGGGCGTGTGAGATATGTAATAAATGTAACATTCACGTACAATCTACATGTGTAGGGGCGTGTGAGATATGTAAGAAATGTAACATGTACGTACAATCTACATATGTAGGGGCGTGTGAGATATGTAATAAATGTAACATGCACGTACAATCTACATATGTAGGGGCGTGTGAGATATGTAATAAATGTAACATGTAAGTACAATCTACATATGTAGGGGCGTGTGAGATATGAAAGATATGTAACATGTACGTACAATCTATAGGTGTTGGGGCGTGTGAGATATGTAATTAATGTAACATGTACGTTTAATCTACATGTGTAGGGCCCTGGGAGATATGAAAGATATGTAACAAGTACGTACAATCTACAGGTGTTGGGGCGTGTGAGATATGAAAGATATGTAACATGTACGTACAATCTACAGGTGAAGGGGCGTGTGAGATATGTAATTAATGTAACATGTACGTTTAATCTACATGTGTAGGGGCGTGTGAGATATGTAATAAATGTAACATGTAAGTACAATCTACATATGTAGGGGCGTGTGAGATATGAAAGATATGTAACATGTACGTACAATCTACAGGTGAAGGGGCGTGTGAGATATGTAATTAATGTAACATGTACGTTTAATCTACATGTGTAGGGGCGTGTGAGATATGCAATATATGTAACTCTCTTACACACAAATACATAGAAGTTATAGGTATCATAAGTAATATATACTGAACCGCAAAAGAAACGTCGTCATAGACAGATATATGAGAAACCTTATTTGTCCAAACACTGTAAACATACTTTGAGACATATTTAAAAGATGAAACTTGGCAAAACTGATCATCAAGGTTGAATTAAAGCGTCAAACGTTCTTAAAGTGAAACACAACACCAGTCTCTGAGAAAATGACATCACAAGTCAGTATCTCGTATGTCCGCCATGTGCATTGATGACTGCCGTGCAACGTCGATATATGGAATGGATGAGGCGGTTGGGGAACCCCTGAAGCAGTGCAGCTGCAGTTGTCGGCCTTGGTCGGACGTCATTCAACCGTCTTTGAATCTCGTCCCACAGGTGCTCAATGGGATTTAAACCGGGACTGGGGGCAGGCCACTGCATGGTTCTGATGCCATTCTGCTGGAGGAAGCGTAATGCTGCTCTCGCAGTGTAGGCACGGGCGTCATCATGCTGAAACGCGTGCTTGCAGCGACGTGCCAAATGAGGTATGGCGTGTGGTTTCAAGACGTGATCAATGTACAGACCTGCTGTGACACCATTGCCTCTCCCTGGACCGATGTTCTGGAAGACCACAGGGCCGACCCTTTGTGCAAGACCAATTCCACCCCACACCATGATGCTCGGACAACCTCACGAGTCTCTCTCAACAACACAAGCATCCGAATAACGTTCCCAAAGAATTTGGGGAGCGCATGTGCAGTTCAATTTGCACGGAACTCACGTGCATCGGGTTACCATGGCCATTGCCGTGATGCGTTTGGGCAAACGGTTTTATTGTCATCTGTTTTGTTTTTTTATCATCAAATTTCATTTTTCCGGATGAGGTAATGTTAAATTTTAGAAACTTTAACAAATATTACCCAGATATTAAAATGACAACTTTTTTATGCAATGTTACTTGGGGTGACGTTTCGTTTGTCGTTCTGTATATATATATATATATATATATATATATATATATATATATATATATATATATATATATATATAGACATTGACTTATTTGAATATGGCTTTCCAACGATTTCAATGTAACTAAATGGGACAAATGTCTTTATGTCATATGTTTAAACGAATATTACTCAGTTACAAGTTACTGAATGTGTAAGAATATTACACGGCTTGATCTTGTTATCACATTATGTCACAGCACCACACATATTTTCTGCTCTACCTGTCAAAGTATTTGGTTCTGAAATTGCTTTTGAAATTATCAGTTACTTAGCGTTGATTTGTAGTGCACGGACGTGTTGTCTCGGCCTTGGGAAACAAGCCAAGCAGTCCTACCGACTACGTGCACAATGCGCCGTCTGCAGATCGACATCTGGAGAATGTGTCTGTGTACGTCCTGCAGGCACATAGCAAGGGCCGATTAGCATACCGATATGTCTAGCTGTCAATTATTGACGTGATATAAATTGATATGTATTTGATGTATACTAGTATTTCATATAAAGCTGACGCCGATCACAAGGAGCCCTAGTTCAGTGTAATGTAATGACTTAGACTATTGTGAGATTCTTTTATCATGCGCATCTTAGTGATATACAATTGCAAAGGTGGAGATTTGCCGTGTGTGAGGTTGACTGCTTTTTCAGTCAACTCGTTTTCTATACCATAGGGAGAGATGTCGTTCATTTTCATTGTGAAAATATGGCGATTACATTTGTCACTAGTCACTGGACCTGTAACATGACGCTGAAAAAAAATGTTTTTCGGATGAACCAATTACAGAACTGTACTCCCCCGCCCAAATACCAAAACTTTTCTCAGTTTTTTATCAGCATGTAACTTCTCACCTGATCCATAAGAAGCATGTAAATAACATAAACTCCTGTGTGGAGAGTCAAACACAACAGGATATGTATGTACATTGCGCTCATGTGTCCTGTACGTCATTCCATCATTGCTTTTGTCATTCCTTGCTTCATCTCCAGTGTAACAGTATGAATTCAGTTCTGAAAACTGCACGCGGTTAGTAGTTCACTTATAAGCACATAGAACGAAAGATGGAGTCAATTGTCTTCCACAGAAAAATCGAAATTTAAAGTTTTGTGACGCGACAAGTGAATGAGATAGCGGTTGTGTTGTCTGGTGGGGGACTGGAGACTATGGCACTAGTGACAACACAGCACGGCTGCCTGCAGTAAGTGAGTAACGATATAAGCCGTTCTCATCAATAGTCCAGTCACTGTATGGAGGAGGACGCCAATGGAGTCGATTTAATTCCTTCTGGGCTTTAGTTTATATAGAGAAAAATACAGGCTGTCTCATACATATTCATGTCGGGAATTCATAATTTTAATTCATCATTATGTCTTTTGTTTTACAGTTGTGATATATGTACTGCAACTAAAAACAAACATACTATTAGCTATTTATTTCAAGTTATTTCAAAATAGGTCTAGGCTGCAGACAGGAGATCCACTGTTATCGTAGTTACCGTAAAGTATTATACTACAGGTTCAGGATTGCTTACTATATCCACTCATCTCTATTTTAAAAAGTCTAATGAAAGTTTTATAAAAAGATTATACCGATGGAATAGAATTATTTAAATTTCGATGGTGACAATGATGCTGACTGTACTCTAGATTGATCAAAAGTGTAATATACTCAACAACAAAAGTTCCTGTGACACCAATATTTTAGTGTGTTTTTCAAACAAGTAAAGTTTGGTTTTCAATATTGTAGTACATGTATGGAATCAAGTCACAAAAACGCAACTGCTGCAGGAAAGCATGCATTCCATGCAAACGTTGACTTTTATGCAAGCCCCATGCATTTCACTACCCAAGAATGGATATAAATACATGTGCGTTAACGGGATTCCATATGCATTGTTTAGCATCGTCCTGACAACAACCACCAGAAAAACAACACAATTACGCAATTTTTCAACATTACGAAATGCTACGCCTGTCCGAATATGAGCGTCTGCGAGCCATTGGTATGCTTGACGCAGGATCGAGTCAACGTGATGTTGCAAGACAATTTAACGTCCACAGAAACACCATTTGGTGTTTATGGCAACGTTGGCAACAGACGCATGCAGTCAGGGACCATCTTCGGAGTGGCAGTCCACGCGTTACCAATAATCGACAAGACAATTGGATTCGAACAACACACCTACGAAATCGATTCCAGCCAGCAACAGTGACTGCAAGAAGCATCCCTGGCCTTCGACGAATATCTTCACAAACCGTACAGATGTGCAGGGATTGTCGCCAGAAGACCCGCCAGACGTCCCATTTTGACAGGAAACCACCGTCAAGCACGTCTACAGTGGTTCAGGCAGCGTCTACCCTGGACGGCCATGCAGTGGGGACAAGTTCTATTCACTGTCTCGTTTTCACCTCAGCCAAAGCGATGGACGGTTTCGAGTGTACCGACGTCGAGGTGATGAACGTTACCTCAATCATTGTGTCATGGAAGTAGATCGGGGGCGGCAGCGTTATAGTATGGGGTGGGATTACAGCATTTACAGCAATGGACAGCGCTACCGCGACGAGATCATCGGCCCTGTTGTTCTATCGTTTTTGCGTCGTCATGGCCCAGGCATTACCTTTATACATGACATCGACCGGCCTCATAGTGGTCGACTTGTTCAGGATTCTCTTCAACAAAACAACGTGGCCGGCTCGGTCGTCTGATCGCTCACCAATCGAGCACATGTGGGATGAGATGGATCGGCGCCTTCGACGTCAACCACGTCAGCCTTCGACAATCCAGGAACTTCGAAATATGCACCAGCAGATATGGACAGATATCCAGGGATTCGAACCCACAATCATAGGGTTCTGGCATCTCTGCAAAGCGAATCAGGCTTGCAAAAGATTGTGTGAAGGAACCTGTTTATGTGGTGCACATACACATGGCATAACTACTGTACATACGGAGCCAAACGATTACGTAATTTATATGTATCTCACAGACAAAAACAGCTTTAAGTCCGTAACGGAATCATACATCGATAAAGTATTTCATTGATTACAGAGTTATGTCTTGAATATGTGGCTTTTAAAGGCACGCTGCCTTGTCGTCAAAGATGTCGTAATTCGCTGTGCAGAGGTGCATGTTTTTGGGGTCCCACAAATCCCGGATTACCTATAAATTTTCGACACCCGTCATGTTTGTTTGTTCTTAAAGCCCACACCGCAAAATTCCAGCACTCGGAGGACAGTCTGTCAATAATCGAGAATGGAACAGAGAACCCCGGGATTAAAATCATGAGCATTTATCATGATCTTATCATTCAAGATCTCTATAATTGAACGGGAACATTTACACTTGATGTTATTCAAGCAGACACCGTGATGTTTGTTTGTTTGGTTAGCTGATTTTACGCCACATTCAGCAATATTCCGGTTATATGACGGCGGTCTGAAAAGTGTCGAGTCTGACCAGACAATCCAGAGATTGACATCATGACTATCGATCTACGCAAGTGGGATACGATGACATGCATCAATCTAGCCAGCAATCCTGGACACCCGATCCGGTTAGTCGCCTACTACGACAAGCATGGGTTGCAGAAGACCAATACTTACACAGTTATTCACGGGGTTCGACATCCCTAGTCTAAGACATTGTTTATTGACATTCCCAGGTCTGTAAAGGTCTGAGTTAGAATCGGCCTTTAGTAGCTCATGCTTCTCGCACCCCTTTAATGTTTGTTTGTTTGTTTGTTTGTTTGTTTGACGCCGCTCGCAACAATATTCCAGCTTTATGACGTCGATCTGAAATAATCGAGTCTGGACCAGACAATCCAGTAATTGACATCATGAGCATCGATCCACGCAATTGAGATCGATGACATGCATCAGCCAAGTCGGCGAGCCTGACCACCCGTTAGTCGCCTCTAACGACAAGCATGGTCGACTTTAACGACAAGCAGAGTCGCCTCTTACGACAAGCATGCATGCATGGGTTGCTGAAGACCTTTTCTACTCTGGATCTTCACGGGGTTCGGTACCCCTAGTCTCAGACATTGCCTAAGTTAGAATCGGCCTTTAGTAACTCATGCTTCTGTCGACCCCTTTAATGAAATGTCCAGGATGTTACTAAGAGAATCTTGGTATTCGCAAGCATATTCTTATTTCTTACTATCAGTGTAACATACCAACATCAGACAACACCAATATATGTTTTTCTTTTAATATCATGCATGTATGGAACAAAATGGGATTATGAAAGGATATAGGATATGATGTAAACATGTTTTTGCTGAGTACTGTACGTGTTCATGAGACGGGTGTGACATGGCAGCCACCTTGTAGTACCCTAGCCTCTGTCTACACTGGCTCCCATGGGCTCTTCGTATCCTGCCTGTCACTCGGCATTGTTTGTTTGTTTGTTTATTTGTTGTTTAACGCCACACTCAGCAATATTTCAGCTATACGGCGGTTTGTAAATAATCGAGTCTGGACCAGACAATCCAATGATTGACATCATGAGCATCGATCCACACAATTGGGATACAACGACGTGCATCAACCAAGTCAACGAGCCTGACCACCCGATCCCGTTAGTCGCCTCTTACGACAAGCATAGTCGCCTTTCACGGCAAGAATGAGTTGCTGAAGACCTATTCTACCCCGGATCTTCACGGGTCCCCTTGGCATTGAGGGCATAAGATAAACCAAGGAATGTTTGGAGTCAGTATACTGTGTCTGAGTGGGATAGCTACCTTAAACTGCGGCATGGTAACTCGGTGGACTAGCTCTGTGAAACCGGCATTACTCAGGACTTGTAAAACAACCACACAAACGCGCCCGTAGTATAAGTGCAACGCGACCTTGATCCCCATTTCACCACACCTCCTGTGGACTTGGTACCACTTCAAGGAACAGCTGCAGATACATCTCGAAAGTGTCTGAAATGAAACCATGTCACAATACCCGTTATAATAAATCTTTGCAAGTATTGAATCTGTAAGTAAAAGCGATGAACTGTTTTTCTGTACGCATATGCAAGCACATATTTTGAGAAGAGGATATTGTACAAAGAAGTATGTAATTCTTTCATCACCCATTGAATATGTCGTTGTATAATTACCGGCGGCCTGCCGTTAGCCTTTTGTCCATTGTCTTTTACCAATCAGTGATAATTTAAGTTCTGGCTTCCATTTGCTAACACCTGTCAGCGTCAATTAACTGTTGGCTTCCCTTGCTAAGTTCCACCTATGTTATCTTATTACTTTTCTTACAGGTACACATATACGTTCTCTGCCTCATACCATTCAACCACGCCAAGGCCAGTGCACATCCCACAGACAAGCCCATGGCAACACACACACACACACACACACACACACACACAAACCTTGCCCCTTTCTTCCCTCCCCAAAGTTTTTAAGCATAGGTTACACAGGTTTACCCTGTCTTTATTTATCAACCTTCTACTAAATAATCATCAGATTAACTGGTTTTATTCTTATAACTTATATTCTATGTCACGGGTTTGGCTTCTTAACAGCTCTCCGCTTCCTTTAAACTCCTCTTATCCCAAACAACCTCTTTACTATTTTAATTTTCTAAACTCCATCCCTCCTCAATTACAGTTTTTTGGGGGCCAGACGCTTAACCACTATTCCCCATTGTTCATAACTTGACTGGTCCCGACTGCGACATAGCCAAAGGCTGAAGCGGTCATAAAATCTTCTAAACTGTCATAGCAATTATTCACCGGATGACGGAGTAAGTATATGCTCCGAAAAGTTGTCTTCGTCATAATAAAGAAGTTCACATCCATAAATTCTCTTGTGTCACTTCTAAAAGCCTTTCAAAGACTTAACTCCTTTATTCGTTATAATGCCGTGCTCCGTCGTGATGAATAAAGTGTGACCGTACTTGAGGAAAAGAGTATATGGATGTCAGCTTCTTTATTATGAGGAACACAACGTGGTGAAGGAATAAGCATGTACTCCGAAACATTGTGTTCTTCATAACAAAGAAGCTGACATTCATATATTCTCTTCCTTATGTGTATCACTTCTAAATGACTTTCAAAAACATGCGTCGTACTTGAGTATGATAATACATAAATGCATGAAAAAGTTACATGTTTTCATTTTCTTCTAAATGTCAAAGTCTAGCGATGTCTTATTACCTAAGAAACGCGGCTTGAGCTTGTAGTGGACAAAGGGTATGTAGAAGACAAGCCCTCCCACACAGAACACCACAGCATAGAGGAACTCAATCCGGGGATAGTCGATGATGGGCGTCAGCACCAGGAACACCGACACAATCAGGAACAACACGTGGTTTACCATAGGAATCTGCACAAAGTGGGTGAGACGTGTTCAACACAGATTTGAACAGTATTCCTGTTACAATACGGCACATCAGCTTAGGAACAAGCAAACCCGATGTTACAAGGTGGTACAGGTTTATAGCTTGGGTTAAACCCACGAACATGGGGATGGGGCTTAGAGAAGTGAGTGAGTGAGTGATTGGTGGTTAACGCCGAATCAGCAATCTTGCAGCTATTTGCGGCGAGTTAACAGATTTAAATCAAATAAAATCAGTGGATCATGAAAGCTAAGAGAGGCAATCATTCATAGCCAATTGCAGCGAATAAGTTCCTACATGGGGGGGGACACTCTTGCACCGCACTTGAAAGTGTATACTGTTTGCAACACATGATTAGAAACTGGTTTCAGACAATGTTGAGATGACCAGCTATATCTCGCATTACCTTGATTCTCTGTGGGTCCCCCTCCCTCGTGAACCTGAGGACGATGACTGAGACGGCACTGAGAGCGTAGAAGAACCACGCCAGGAAGGACAGGAACCTCAACAGAGACATGATGCTCGCTTCCAGAATCATGATGATGGCAAAGAATATCTGTTATAACAAACGGAAGGATCTGGTTTTAAGAGAAGTTGTCTTTTTATCCTATTTGTTTTGCTTCCAGCATTTCTTCCTTTGTTGCGTGTGCTTTCCTTTTTACTTTTTAAGCGCCATTCTCATGACATTTTCTTTCGCGGCATCACTGAACCATTTTCAAGCCATTCACTGTGCTTTCGCAACACTTTCTCGAATGTATCACAACACTTTTTTCGCGATTCAGCGGAGGGAACTCATCAAATGTTGTGTTAAAAAATAACGCGACCTGTACATGACACTATATTGAACTGTGAAGAAACGCCGGGTTTCGTGTGAAGTATGGTTTGATACTCATAAGACTATGTTTTTTTTGGTAAAAGTTGTTTTGTTATATATTTTTTACGAGCAGCCGTCCTAAATGGTTAAACAATGAATTAAACAACGATAGAAATTATAGTTTTAGATCGCGAGAAGAAATATTTAATAACAACACTTACATGAAACAAAATAGACGGAATCGGAGAGTAGTGCTTTACGTGGATATAGGAAAGGAATTCTGGGAAATTCCCGTCACGTGCAGCAGCAAAGGTGATCCTGGGACAAGTAAACAAACATCTTCAGAAAAGGTGATACTGGACATAACGAATAGACATCGCCAACAACGGTTGTTTCATGAGTAGGATTTCCTGTTACTGGTAGAGTAGGACATGCATACCCTTTTGGCTAAAACCTGGTGTCGTCAGTGATTTTCAGTGATCCATTCATATAATGTTAACCACTGTTTTGATTTTTACGCCCAATGGATTCCGTTTCGGCATATAATCGACTTAGTCTTCCCTGGCGTTACCATTATATATCTGACAATTATTGATCATAGTATAATCAGGAAAAACATCTGTGTCATTTAAGTCGTGAATTGTGGAGGGGTTATTTTTACCTTGATGAGCTGAAGAGCCCGCCATTCAGAGCCCCGAACGTTGAGCACATGACTGAGAGCGGAATGATCAACCCTGCCGCGCCCATTACACGGTCTCCCCAAGTCTAGAAGGAGGAAACATGTAGGTGTAAAGGATCTCTTAAGTACTTGATGGTCTCAATGTTCATTGATATGAAATTAGTTGATTTCGATAATGCATTTGTGTCGTTTCTGGTATGAGGGGACAGATCTAGGTCTATGGGTGTATAAGAATACTTTTTCATAATGATGAGAAGATACGGTTAAGAATCCAAGTTTGTCGTAAGAGGCAAATAACCGGATCAGGTGGTCAAGGATGCACACGTAGATCGATGATCATGATGGTGCAAACTCTATAGCTGGGATTTTGCTGATAGCGGCCTTAAACAACAGACAGACATCATAGCATCTGGTTGTATAACATCAGAATAACTATCAGTTTCCTCCTTGTAAACTCTTTTCTAGTTTAGCGAACACTATAGGCACCTGGCGTGTACAGAGAAGCAGGTTTGTTTGTTTGTGTGTTTGTTTGTTGTGTAACGCCACACTCAGCAATATTCCAGCTATATGACGGTGGTCCGTAAATAATCCAGTCTGGACCAGACAGTCCAGTGATTGACATAATGAGCATCGATCCACGCAATTGGGATACGATGATATGCATCAACAATGTCAGCGAGCCTAACCACCTGTTCCCGTAAGTAGCATCTTTCGACAAGCATAGTCGCCTTTTACAGCAAGCATGGGTTGCTGACAGAGAAGCGTGAGTGTAGAGACATTCACATGAGGTGTTTGACACATGCACGTGCATGTATAGCTTACAATATGTATATGTGCACGAGAACACACGTGTGGATTGACAAGAAAGATTATACATATTTAGATTGTGTCTTATACGCCAAATATAATCTGTCTCGGAAGGTTAACCGAGACTGGTTATGCTGTAATGACCTTTTCGCCAACACCTGGACCGCCTCCGTGGTCTAGAGGGAGAGCGTCCGGCCTGAGAACGGAAGGTCCGGGGTTCGATCCCCGGCCGCGTCATAACAAAAGACTTTAAAAGATGGTACTTGTTGTTACCCTGTCTGGTGCTCGTCATTAAGGGGCTAAAACAAGGACTGGTCGGCTCGGAGTCAGTATACTGTGTCTGAGTGGGGTATTCATGTTAAACTGCGGCATGGTATCTCAGTGAGCTAGCACTATAAATCGGCATTAGTCCGGGCTAGTACAAGCAGCCACACACACACGTGCATGAACGTCGCTATATAAGTGCAATAATCTTGGACGCGACGTTAAACCAAATTTCACCTCACCTCACCGCTAACACCTGGTATCATCACTATTTGATAGCTGTCCACAAACACGTGCGTGTGATATGGTCGAACTCGTACAATGTACGTTCAGTAGAGATTATTCATGAATTTGGAAAGAGTTTGTCGTTTTGATTATAATTTGTAATCTAATATGAAATGAACTTACTACTGCTACTGCGGTGGATGTGAATAGTTCCTTCTTGGACAGCACGGCGAGGTAGGATACGTTGGTCAGTATATAAACAAACGCTGTCACCAGAACCCCAACGATGCTGGACAACGGAACATTTCTGTAACATATCAGTTGCATGTACATCACTCGGGGAAGTTGTTTTAACAAGGGCCACACCGAGGACAAGATAACATATATTTCAAAGAAAGACTTACAACTTTTGTCCCTCAAATATTTTGAAATATATGACACAAGTATGGCCACCTATCAAGACACAACATTGGCGTGTAATCCAAAGAGTTTCGCATATACAAGGGTAGTTAGAATCTTGATTTTTATTTTGGTATTGATCACTGTTTTGGTTTTGGTGTTTTTTGTTGTTTAACGCCGCACTCAGCAAAATTCAGCTTCATGACGGCGGTCTGCAAATAAACGAATCTGGACCAAACAATCCTGTGATTGACATCATGAGCATCGATCCACACAATAGGGATCGATGACATGCATCAACCAAGTCAGCAAGCCTGACCACCCGATGCCGTCAGTCGCCTCTAACGAGCATAGTCGCCTTTTGCGGCAAGCATGGGTTGCTGTTCTAACCCGGATGTTCACGGGTCGTGTTGATTTCCTGTTCCATTCATGCTTGGATGATGAATGTAACCTGTCTGTGTTTTTGTGGATGACGTTCAACAGGACCATGAATGTTTAATCTATATTTATCACGTCGTCGGCCATGTATTTTGGACAACCGTTTGTACACGGACAATGTATCAGTATTCCGTATTAAGATTTGCCCTTGTTTTCTTCAGAAGCGACTAAGTTGTATCAACCAACAGTACATGAAGAAGCAATACCTCCATCTGCCACGATGTTTCATTTAGCACCCCAATCATGTATGTCGTAACTGTTCGTCCCTCCTTTTTCACTGGTTTAGGATTAAAGTCAGACGTACAGATCCATGTTGCAATAAGTATTTACATATAACATTGTATTGATCCATTTTTTATGAAATCATATGTGTGCCTTTACCTCCTCGGGTTTTCAACCTCTTCGAGAAGATTGTTCGCGTTGTTCCTGTAAGACAACCGAGATGACATGGACAATGAGAAAACAGGAGTTGTAAAGACTTCATATGGTAGTAATTCAGCTGAAGATTTACTTAGCGCTGACCTAAATATTTCATAGGGATTTATAAACACATGCTCATGATCTGGTGGAAAACGAATTACTCTGCTTTGGGCATATATTTCTTATGGATATGGAAAGGTTTTCTTCGCATTTATTTATCATATTTTCTATCGTGTCATTACGCACTTCGGTAAGGAAGTGTCACGACATGTACAGCTAAATTTGGTTTGGTTTGCTTCTTGTTTAACGCCGCACTCAGCAATATTCCAGCTATATGATGGCGGTCTGTAAAGAATCGTGTCTGGACCAGACAATCTAGCTAACTAAACAACTTATTCAAAACATACGTGTATATATGTAATGAAACATTCAAACAGAAATCCCTTAACCAGTAAGCATTTTCTTCAATTTGTATTCCAAGGTTCGATCCCCGACTGCGTCATACCAAAATACGTTAAAAGATGGTACTAGTTACCCTGTCTGGTGCTCGGCATTAAGGGGCTAAAACAAGTACTGGTCGGCTCGGAGTCAGTATACTGTGTCTGAGTGTGGTATTCATGTTAAACTGCGGCATGGTATCTCACGGAGGTAGCACTATAAATCGGCATCAGTCCGGACTATGACAAGCAGCCACACAAACACGTCGCTATTTATGTGCAATAATCTTGGACGCGACGTTAAACCTCACCTCACATCAATTTATATTCGCATCGTAATTATAAGCGACAAAACTTGTTATATAGTCAAACAAAATATCTACCCAAAACAGAGTCCACTGTATGATTCCGACTGTATCATGAGCATGTGTTCAGGAATCCCTATCAAATAGTGATGGTAACAGGTGACGGGAAAGAGTGAGCGCATTGTGCCCTAACCGGGAACATATGGTACAAGTCAGGAAAGCGCATCGGATAACATTTTCAGTATATTCGGAATTGATGTGAGATTTACTCACTTAATTTCTTGCGAAACCCAACAGAGGTCAGTTACAAGTGGTGATACTCTGTTGCCTGTACGTACCATCCGCCGTAGGAAAACATGACGAAGTAGAGAGCAAGAGCCACAGAGGCAGGCGAGTCGGTGGTGCCCGTGAACCCCGTCATCAGGTCGGACGTCACACCTACATCATCAAGGGGACTACATTGGTAAAGAACCGACTTTGTCATTTAATGGATAGTGTTATCGATGAGATGAATCAATCCGATAAACGTATTACCACGACCCTATAAATATGAAAATGTGGTCATTTTACAGATACCTCCATATGAAGCCATCTTGGTAAAAAATCTTTGCTCAATGTTCCCCAAAAGTGTATTTATATTTCCGCCGTGTGAGAGCTTATTAAAGAAACATGGCACTATATATAGCAAACGGGTTGGTTCCATCAGACATTGTATCACTGCGCTATTTCTGAAGTTACTTTCATCAATACAAATATGTCTTAAACTTTGGTTATTTTAAGAATGACATTATTTTCTTAAAAGAGTATTACACACTTGTTCAGAATAGTAATTATCGTAAATCAGGAATAAAAAGTATAAATAAAGGCTCGCATAGACAATTTTAATTCACAATACGTGATACTTGTTTATCTAACTTGAAGTAAAATCTTTCTACATCTGCCGTATTTTCTAATATTCAAATGTGCTTAAAAACCTACAGCGCTGGTGCTTCCTGTTTACATTCTTCATGTAGTTTGCGGAAGTCAAGAGTCTACCTGCAATATGGTAAGAGCTTTGCATTCCGACATACCTTTGGACATCCACACAATTCCTCCAGTCACAATCATGAGGAGTGCCAGGAGCTTTGCTCCAGTGAACACTACCTGTACACGGGTAGCCAGTTTGGGGCTGAAGCAGTTGATGATCGACAACGTCACTACAAACACGGATAGAGAGAACTTATTGACGACGAGCACAGAAAACAGAAACATTTGTTTAAAATGTTATTGCTCATGACCGACCCCCCTCGCTATTCTGCCTCTTCCGTGTGGGTGAGATGGTATTAGGTCGTTTCTAAGGGTAAACCATCTTCCCGAGGCAAGAGAGTTAACTGACAATAAAAGTCCAGTTTCCACCCTCGCCGAACTAGGCTGGTTTTATGGAGTTACATTTTGGCTGGGCTAACGACTATATGCATAATCCAATAAAAATCGCGCAACGAAATCGAAATCCGGTTCGTAAACTGTCGTACAGATTTCGGTCGATTGCAGGATTTCCAAAGCATGTTCACCTTCAACTCGTTGTCAACAGATATTTTCCAGATCTTTTCATGTTTATAATCATGGTGCTCACGTGATTGGATGCACTTCGCGATGTAAGACCCGTTTTATCGCAGTATAGATCTTGATTATCGATGAGATCGTCTTGACAGGGCGCCACCATTTTGTTTGAAACATTTGCAAGTGATACGAGAGGTGGAATCTGATTTGTCCATAGGAGAGGCTTACAAGGGACATAACTCGTAATAACAACTGGTGGCGCTACAATCGAGCCCAGGAATTCCAGCCTAGTTTGGCAAGGGTGGAAACTGGATCTTTAAAGTCAGTTAAGTCTCTTGCCCCGGGAAGATGAGGGTTAACCAGCCATATACACAGAAAACACCAAGGGCAGGTTCTGTTTATTGTACACGTGTTGGAATAAAAACCGGGACTTAAGCGTGACGAGCCAACGCTTTACCCCCCGGACTATCCCACCTCCTGTTTTGATTATACCTCCATTCAGAGGACACTAGTTAAATACTCAGTTTGTGTATCTTAAAAGCTTCAGATGAAGAAATGACAATTGTGTTGTGTTCTTGAAAATTCTGGCGAGTAATGAATGTAAACAGACAAATGATTAAAAAAGGATTATATACTAGTCTTCGTTTTATATTTCCGTATTATGGTTATTTCCATAATTGTAAACGGGATTAGACAACAACAACAAAATAATTATGTTTTGTTATACGAAATGTTACTAGTTCAGCCAGATCTCGATTAAGATTTTATTTTGATATCCACTGATCAAAGTCCTCTTTTTAATGCAGTCGCTACTTACACTTTTCTCATTTCGAACCGGAATATATGTGTTAACAGGGGCAAATATGAGAAAGAAAGAATATTTTAACTAAACATGGGACATGGAACAAAAAACTGATGCTTACTGATGAGAAGAATGGCTATCAATTTCTTTGGCAGCTCCGGCGATCCACACACGACAAACATAGACTCAAAATATTCGGCAAATGTAAGGGAGACAACTGCTGTAGACGAGGGGCTCATGGCCACCTCGCGCGTCCACACGACCAGGAATGCTGGTATGGGTCCGAGAGCTTCGTTCAGGTATGCGTACTGTCCTCCTGATTTGCGGACAACCGATGCCAGCTCAGAGTAGGTCAGGGCACCTGCAACATATTACATCATTGTGTCTACATGTCTTTGGATTCTCTGACAATCCATCGTATCGCCCCGGGGGTCCCGGGAAGAATAGGTCTCCCGCGCCCCACCCATGCTTGTGGTTAGAGCCCACTAATGGTTGGTTACGATGTGAGGTCATCCAAAGTGTCCCCATACCCCGACGGCGTGGCTTGTTGATCATGACCATCATTTGTCTTAACCCGGAAGAGTTTATTTCCATGTCACAGCGAAAACCGTGGATGTTAAATTGTTGTCTGTGGCGCAACTCAAGATTTACCCACTAGTATCTGCTAATCGTTCGGGTAACGTTTACAACCTTGTTTCAGCCTACAACGAATCAAATTTGGATTTTTTCCATTCTTACAAAGATGCTATCTATATCGATGCCAGAGCATAATCAGTTTCAAATTAATGGTGATGTCCGACTTAAACCAGCGTTTTAATTTTACTCATATATTCGTCTTAAGAACTTCATGAAATTACACACGTCGCTATATAAGTGCAATCTTGGACGCGACGTTAAACCCAATTTCACCTCACCTTCGAAGTTACTAAAAGTACATCATGTCATACATACGAGATGTCAGTGTGTTGGCTATTACCTAACATGGACAGAACTCCTCCCAGGGCCCACAGCACCATGCACAGTCCCACAGAGCCGGTGTTCTGGAGCACACCTTGAGGGGTGATGAATATTCCAGAACCTGCACAGAAACAAACAACTGCCCGAAAAGGAATTCACAAAAGCTCTGATCATACAGCCAGGAGAGTTAGTACAAAAACTGGAACGAATGCGATCCACAAGAATAAGTTTAGTTCTACCATTTGTGAAGAACATTAAAATAGAGAAATGGTTTTGTGGAAATGACACACGGTTGGACTAGTCGATCAGATATTGGAATTTCATATCAGCAATCAATTACAGTGTATTATACGGTATACAAAGAAGCGGCAGACCATTTTCGTAAGCATAAGAAATCCAATGTACGATTCCGATTATATCAAAGATGTGTTTATGAATCACTCTCACATGATACAAGGTGTTCGCGAAAAGGTGAGCGTATCCTGCCCAACCGACCATCACGAACACATGCAAAGGCAAGTCAATTGTTCACCTGAACAAAAGCGGGAACATAATGATACAAGTCACGAAATTAGCTACGAAATTTCCACGTTCTTCATGACGTTCGAGTAAACACTTCAACCTACCCAACTCTTCCTGGTGTGACCAAATGGTTTGAAATTGTTCAGCTGATATGGTACATGACGCGAGAATGGTTGAATGGTTTATTTACAGGAGATGGTGTATGCATGCTCCTTACAAACAACTCCAAAACAAATGGTTACGAGGACTTCATGCCTATCATTGCATAATGATATTCGCTGTGCAGAGTTGGACACATGGGCGCGCCATTACTCTATGATCTTGGGTTGAAAACGTCTGAGACATGCATCACTTATGGCTTTCGTCCCTCAGTAAGCTGACAAGCTGTGATAAAGCTGGAATACTGTTCAAAGTGACGTTAACCCCAACTCACTCACTCACACACCCCCCCTCCCACACACCCCTACTCACTTCTTCACATACACAATGACAAAGTTACCAATGACAGTTCCAACGACGAAGGAGATTCCGCCGACAAGCCCCACATGTTTCTGGAGTTTCACATCCTCATCCCCTCCACCTGGCGGTGTTCCTGTCTCCAGCTGTCCACTGGGAGGCTCCTCGACCACTGCATCATGAAGATAAACACATGCTCACAGCTCGATAGCCTCATGGGTGCGTGCAGAGACAGTATGCATAGGTTTGTTGGTTGGTTGGTTTGTTGTTTAACGCCGCACTCAGCAGTATTCCAGCTTTATGACGGGGGTATGTGATTAATCGAGTCTAGACCGGACAGTCCAGTGATTGATATCATGAGCATCGATCCATGCAATTGAGATCGATGACATGCATCAAACAAGTCAGCGAGCCTGACCACCTGATCACGTTAGTTGCCTCTTACGACAAGCACAGTCGCCTTTTACGGCAAGCATTTTGTTGAAGACCTATTCTACCCCGGAATCTTCAAGGGTAATATGCATAGGACGTCAAAGTCATGAACTGGGAGTACTGGAGATTATTGCAACTATATCGTATTATCCGTAGTTCGGAACACTGTAGATAATATGTGTGTGTTCGTTTGTTGTTGTTGAACACCGCACTCAGCAATAATTCAGCAATACGACTGCGGCCTGTAAATAACTGATTCTGGACCAGACGATCCAGTGATTGATATTGTGAACAATGATCCACATCCTCGAGGTATCCTGACTCGAAATGAATCATGTCATCGAACCTGGCCACCCGATCCCTTCTCTAGGACGAATACATGTTGCTGGCCATGGGACCACGTATTTAAACCGAGAATCCCAACAGGAATATTAGACTTCCCACAGGTACAGTCGGAATAGTTATTACACTGTATAAAACGATAAATCGAGTTTAGCAAGTTTGAGTTAACCACGTGGTACTATTTCACGTATTATGCATACTAAGTTTGCTGTGAATGTCGAACACGGGGTAAAACAATAATGAGTGAAACCGTTTGCGGTCATTAATACAGCTAAAATACCTGATGACTACAATAACTGTTGAAGGTAATATGAAATCTCCCTTGTACGATTCCGGGTGAGGTGAAATGGGGTTTAACGTCGCGTCCAAGATTATTGCACCTATATAGCGACGTGCATGGTGTGTGTGTGTGTGTGTGTGTGTGTGTGTGTGTGTGTGTGTGTGTGTGGCTGCTTGTACTAGCCCGGACTGATGCCGATTTATAGTGCTAGCTCACTGAGATACCATGCCGCAGTTTAACATGAATACCCCACTCAGACACAGTAAACTGACTCCGAGCCGACCAGTCCTTGTTTTAGCCCCTTAATGCCGAGCGCCAGACAGGGCAACAACAAGTACCATCTTTTAACGTCTTTTGGAATGACGCGGTCGGGGATCGAACCTACCGCTCTACCACTAGACCACGGAGGCGGTCTGTACGATTCCGACTCTATCATAAACATGTGTTTATGTATCACTATCAAATAGTGACGATAGCAGGTAATTCGTCAGTGAACACATGCACAGTCAGTGGTATTGCCAGTGTAATGCTAGGCGAATACTAGTATTTAAATTCACGCCTAGACATTGAACATGTTCAGGATCAAATAACCATCCCATCTCCTTGATATCAAATTATGATTAAAATTATCAACACTATTGTATTGGTTGCATTCGGGGTAATACATAGAGATAATCGACGTACGTGACTGAAAATCTGAAAATTAAATAAAATAATTAATATAATTTTTCAGCGATTTAAATCCTTACCTCTCTGCCAACCCATCTTGATCAATGCAAAAGTTAGGATGAATGATTTCTGATAGTTAGACAGCATCACACATGGTAGGACAGCCTGCTGTCGCCCGCAGGTTCTCCCAGCAGGTGCGCACGCTGACTGCTGTGCATGCTTGGCGGGTAGCGCTCTAACTTCCGTCACAAACTACCTTTTTATATGACGAAGGAATATCAAGTCTTTATAACTCAGCTTAAATATGATTTTTTAAATCTGTCGCAAATAATATAAATTAAGATTTGTTGTTTCATCTGTAGTGTAATCATTTCGAGATTAAAACGTTCGTTTTATCTTCAAACAATCAGTCAATATGAGAATAAGGAGGTTTAGCTCAAATGTGAATTTCCAAACATCAATAAAGACAGGTTTTAGAAATCCGAAATAAATACTTGGGATCAGGACTGATATAAAGATACTGAGTGAGTAAGTGAGTGAGTATGGATTTACGCTGCCTTTAGCAATATTCCAGCAATATCATGGCGGGGGACACCAGAAATGGGCTTCACACATTGTACCCATGTCGGGAATCGAACCCGGGTCTTCGGCGTGACGAGCGAACGCTTTAACCACTAGGCTAGCCGACCGCCCCACTGACAAATGATAACACGTTCTTTACCATAGCATTGCACCTATCAGAAAGGATTACACGTTAAATCGAACTATCTATGTATCACGATTATCCATGATATAATCCAATATAGTAATAATAAGTTCAAATATCAACCCCCGTTAAACTGGACAGCACGGTGTATGGAATCGTAACTGGGACATTGTCGTGCTTTGAATAATAAATCTGCCTTTTTCCAAAGTGCGATAATGCGACAACGCGACATATATAGTGTGACCTTGAAAATGTCAAGTTGCCCCTGTATTAAATATTTATATAAATATATATATTACTATACATTTATATATATATTAAGCTCGACAATGTTACAAATAGTCAAAATGTCGCATTGTCGCACGAAATGGCGCTTCAGTTCATTTTGATACCGTTTGCTTGTTTCGTAAGGTGACAATGGCCCTTCTAGGTTTCCATAACCGTACCCATCTAATTCGGCCGGATTAACGATTATCCGGATTAACTATTCATTGTTCAGGAGTAACAGGTTTGTATTCATGTGGACGTTCCTAACCATAACGTTCGGAAGGCAGAATGTCCAGAGCAGCGGTGTCCGGACTGACGAGGTCTCACTGTAGTTCACACCGAAACCGTGCATCACGTTTCTCGATAGGCGTCAGAAAACACAAAACATACTGATGATTCTTTACTTTCAAACTCATAATTAGCCAAAATACATTTGTGTTATACTCAGAGACATGTGGGCATCGATTGACATTTTTGTCATTTTTCACATCATCTGCACGTGCTTGTGATAAAGTCGGAATTGTACCATGGACTTTGCTGTTAGCAAATATTTCGTGCAGAAGCGTACAATCAAATCTGCTTTTTGATTCCTTATGAATATGGAAAGGGGTTTGCCCCTTTAATATCATAACCGCATATCAGACAATAATCAGAACCACCCCAGTCCTCCTTCAAAATCCACTGAAACAGTCTCCATTTAACATCAGACTTAAACATATAAGGCTGAGGCATCATCTGGGATGAAGCAAAGAAATACACGATGTGAGAGGAAGAAAGTTTCTGTTGCGGTGCTATCACGTAGGGGTACAACTACTGCAATGCCGGTATCGGGATAGTTGTTTCATTCACTGAACCACCATTGCAACGCCTAGCATGAACCCGCAGTTACCCTTCCTATCAGGTAAAGGTTATTGCAACGAAACAAAGGAACGAACTTTTTCCTGACCCATTTAAGAGTTTTGTATGTACGACGCCCCAGGGTAGACCTCCTGCATGGAATCTGTTTGGACATGGCTTTGTGATGTAGGGGACAACGTGTTATTTGAACTAATTGCAAACACACAATGCTATCGACCCTGTGGGTATCTGTCTCGTAATGTATATCCTGTAATGCGCGTTACAGATTTAAACGACCCCAGTGCCTGTACTGCGATAAATGTTTCGATGATTGACTTATGTAAGAGAAATGTTGATATTTGGAATGTTTTCAACTTACGTAAGCTACACACATTGGTATCGGACAATCTGTAAATGAATAAACCTATCGACGTGAATGTTCGATGTGAGAATTAGCGGTGCTTGATAAAGGGGCAAGTACGCCTGAAAGGTGTATGCACAATAATACCCCTCGACATGCTTGCAGTAGCAGTATATTTATATTACCCATGTCAGGCGATGACAGGGGTAACCTCATTGCGAATTGTCGCAGTTCGTTGATGTCAACTGCTTTTGTTAAACTAACAGGGACGGGTGGTAGTGACAGTAAAGGAAACAAATGAGGCATCGACATCGCGAACACCGCAAACATCGCGAATACTGCAAACAAATCTTAGCGATAAGTAGGCCCGTTGACCATTCGGCCTCTTGAGCCCCTTGAACCTAAGCGTCAGTAAGAGCTACTTCAATTCTTGTTTAATGAAGTCACTTACTGTTATTGTTTTATTTGAGTCTTCATTTATTCTTTTAACATATCAGCAATATAATATTCTATACTTGGTTCCGCTGATTGTTATTTTGATATATTTCATTCCACTCGTTTGAGGTATGTCGGCACCTGGAACGGTATGTATTATTTGGTAGATAAACGTTTCCATGACTTCAAATGAACACTTAAATATAAAATGAAATTATTTCGTTTGATTTATTTTTTTATGTTTCACAGAAAACACGCAGGGCGCCGTAGGCGAGGACTTCCTGTTGCGGCGTCCCAGGCCGTCGTGCGTGGTGAACGCTTCAAACAGGCGGCCTGCTGGCTTGTGCACATCCTCGCTACAAAGTGGAGTGTAATAATGATTAGCAGTTGTGGATATAAAAGGATGTTCTCGAGTCATGGTGTTCAGCATCCACGTATTGTTTGACATGGTAATGACATCACGTTTACTAGGACAGACACTGTACTGGTCTGTTGACGGATTGCGCATGGTATTCCAGTACCATTGCCAGTCCATACCAGTACCCATTCAGGTGGTGTCCAGCTAGAAGAATTCTTATTGTTTGTTTGTTTGCTGTTTGACGCCGCGTTTGTGGTTTACAGGTAGAGAGGAGTGAGTGAGGTTGTTTTGTATGTAGGCCTCTGTATACCTGGTTTCAGCGGCCTTTAATTGTGTATTTAATCTGTTACTAGTTGAACGCCGCACCAGCAATATTCCAGCTATATGATGACAGTCTGTAAATAATCAAGTTTGGACCAGACAATCCAATGATTGACACGAGCTTCTATTTATGCAATGGGCATACGATGCCATTCATCGATTCAGTCAGAGAGCATGACCACCAGAACCCGTTAGTCGCCTTGTACGACAAGCATGGGTTGCTGAAGACCAATTCCTACCCGGAATTCACATGAGTGTTAGGTCAATGTTTCCATGACGCTGTACTAGGTATCATGAATTACGCATTGTATACCAGTACCATTCTGTGTCGATACCAGTACCGACTTTGTAGGTGTCAAACTGTAATGTCCTCCCATTGTTTGTTTGTGGTTTACGGGTGGACAGAAGTGAATGAGTTTGCTTTATATGTAAGCCGTTGTATACCTAGATGCACTGGAATTTGTGTGCCTGTGTGACGCCACACGAAGCAATATTCCAGCTATATGACGGCAGTCTGTAACTAATCGAATCTGGACCAGTCAATCCAATGATTGACATCATGAGCATCAATTGGGATGCGATGATGGGCGTGTGATGGACGCGGCAGGGTTGACCATTCCTCTCTCAGTCATGTGCTCAACGTTCGGGGCGTCTCCCAGTTAATGCATCCTTAGATCTGTACATGTGTGTTAGGTCAAAGTTTCCATGGCACCTCATTGCGTTCATGTCAGGGTCAGTTTCCCGTAAGTACATAAAGATATACCCCATATAATACGACTATCACACAAACACCAATACAGTCAGAACCCATCAGAAAGAATTATAAATACACACGAGACCAATACAATCAAGAAATAAAACATTCAGTCAGTGATATCTCAAATCGCATTCAAGAGTAACAATTTCTGCTCGAGGCATGTATATATAACCGCCGTCAATATAAGTGTAGCAGAACAAAAAACGATGGGTATTTCAATGTGTTTGAATATACATCGATTCGGTTGGAATGTAGATACAATTAAATGTACATACTGTAAAATCGTATATTCTCGAATTCACATATTCGAACATAATTTGTTACCAAGGATCCGTTATTTGAGAAAAGGTGTGTGTCGATATTCGACCGCAGCCCTGATAAGAATACTGTCGCTATTACAGTGACGTCGTCGTCAACGTTATATCGAGCTACTGCAGTTCAACATAACGCAGTGCCATTCACCTGATGATCGAAGGAATAAGCATATACTCCGAAACGTTGTGTTCCTCATAATAAACAAGTTGACATCCATATATCCTCTTGCGTATGTGTATCACTTCTAAATGCCTTTCAAAGAATCCATAAAAATGTTAATATCATTAATGTAACAGTTATCACATCTCTGTATTGTCTCTAGTATATACATATCACTGATATTGATGATGATTAATCATATTCTATCGGTATACATAACACTTAATCCTGAATGACAATTGTATGTAGCCAATAGCCAATTAGATCTATCCGTCTGGATGCAAACATCGTGTGAACCCTCCGGAACATCCTTTGTGCTGTCCCATGTCCTCCCATGCTAAACAGGCCGATGTCTTGACCCACTTCCATGTGACAACACCCAGCCGCGCTGTATCCAACACATGCCTGGCTGTCAGACCAAGTGATGATCACGTCAACACAGTGCTGGCGTGTCCCCTGCCCCGCGTCCTGGCTGACCCGACTGTCACAGTCCAGTAACTAGGATACACGACTCAGTGACCATTGGAACGACAATGTCCGTGCTCACTGACCGCTGAGACGTGATGTCTGGATTTTGAAAAATAAGCCGGTTTCTGTTCCCATCATGAGATCAGTGTTGGAGCATCTGTTTGCGGTAGTTGTCGTCGGGCTTGGGTATTCAGCATCACGTGAGTAGTGTTACATAACTGTTCATATCTATACACTGAACCAGCACCAGAGCTGGCATGGCAGTCATTAGTTAAGATTACAAATCATTATGTGTTTATCAGAGAAGCATCACTATGTATCCCCGGCTGTCAAGAAGGTGCAAATACCTTTGGTGGTTAATGGGTTCAAAATGCGACAATCAACTGCCTGTTTGAATCCATAAATAGACACGAAGATGAGATTAGTGTGTGAAATTCCATATTATGTCCATAATGAAGGAAAAAAATAGTTATGAAGCTGTACTGAATAATTAAAAAGCATATGTGTACGAGCACCCTGACTGTCATCTAACACACATACAGGATTACCTACATTTATTAATCAATGCCTGACAATTAACAAGCCATACCCGACATTTATGTTGAAATGTGAAAATCAGATTCAGTTAACTTCGTTTATCAGACAGCTGCGTGAGGTAGGTCGTGTGACTTGTTCAGCTCCTTGCGACAACACAACACGCTATTCATTACATTAATAAATTCATCACAAGGTTAAGTGTGTGTATAAATACGCGCCTGTGTATAAATATCCCTTTGATTCGTCTACCTCCTTTCAGTCATTGCTATGAGGACGCGATCTACCGTGTCGGGCGTAGCTGTTGATATATATGTGCAGTAGTTTCCCACACCCTAACAACACAATGTCAACATACACGCAGGTGAAGTGTTGTCCTGACAATAGTGTCTGCGGGAGGGGTATGTGAAGCTGTAACTAACACTGAATTAAACGCCTCATATGTTTGATGCGTCACGGGTTGCCCCCGGGATCTCACAACCCGGAACATGTTTGTGTTTTATCACCAGCGTTGTTTGGGTGCGTGTGCACGCGTGAGTCTCTCGAGGACCAGCCACCAGCGGTCCAGTCCTCTCTGTGATGGCCGGACGATGTCCAGATTGTCTAACTACATGTACATTGTACTACACGTGCGTCGGACGAAGTAAAGATGCCAGGATGTGTCTTATTGTTATGCTAGTGTGTTTTCAGAGAACATTACCAGAGTGTATGTTTTCCATCCTAAATAAATGACCAACTGTTTGATTGGCATTCGAGAAGGTGGCGGGTAAATACAAAACACGTACAACTTAATGGATAACCACTTCCAGCTTGATCACGTGTGAGAATCTACACAAATACGCAATATACCAAAAAATATTATACATAAAAGTTGTACGTTTTCTTAAATATATAACCGTTGTTAATTTCCAGATTAATCACCGAATAAATATTTTTTGGTTACATTATGTGTTACAATTCCATAAATTCGAAAACTGAACAAGTTAGCATTACATGACATGAGAAACTTTCTTTCCTATTTGCAGAATGCCTCACCATGTCTGTGCTATTGGTTACAGATTACATGTACATGGACAACCTCTGTGGCGAGAGTCTCTACCTTAATAACTACACTAGTGGACTGGATCTCAACCTGACCAAGGCCATTGCTTACGCTGCTGAATTCAACTGTACCTTAAAACTGGTCGCCAGAACGCACCATCGTGTCATCGTCAGAATAATCTCTCTCAACATCGCCAGCTTCGTGTCCTGCCCCGAAGACTACTTGACAATATCCGAATGTGCCCCCGGAGAAAACTGTACTGGTGGGTGTTGTCCTCTCTACCCAGATAAATACAATATGACAAATACAACTATCTGGTATATATATATTTGAGTGTGTGCGTTTATAATATTTCCTCTTAAGTATGGACCCTGGGTCATATACTATGATACAAGGAAGCAAAGAGAGCAGTGTCATCAATAACTTATGTCAATTAAAGCGACGAAACCCTTTTCCTGACCGTAAATATCCCTCTTAAAAGAAGTTTGTTTGTTTGTTGTTTAACGCCGCACTCAGCACTAATCCAGCTATGCGACGGCAGTCTGTAAATAATCGAGTCTTGACCAGACAGTCCAGTGATTGGCATCATGAGCATCGATCCACGCAATTGGGATACAATGACATACGTCCACCAAGTCATCGAGCCTGACCACCCGATCCCGCTAGTCGCCTTTTACGGCAAGCATGGGTTTCTGAAGACCTATCCTACCTCGGATCTTCACGGGTCCTTAAAAGAGGTGTGTGTTTGCGTTTGTATTTGTGGCTGTGGCTGTGGCTTTGGTTGTGCCTGTGGCTGATTCATGCCGGGGTAATAGCGCTAGCCCACTGAGATACCCTGTTGTAGTTCAACATGGATGCCCATTCAGTTTCATCCCGTTAATGCCGTATGCCGGGCAGGATAACAAGAAGCATTTTGTACGCCATTTGGTTTGACACGACCAGGAATCAAACCACCGACCTTCCCCTCCCCGGGCGGACGCTGGATCCACTCGACCACCTGTAACCTGTGGTCCTGTAACTTATGACGTTGTGTGTAATCGTTGCTACATGTGACCGTGTGTGTTACAGAGAGCCGAAGGTACTGTGGTGTGGAGACACCAGTAGATGTCTACACCTCCTCCTCCAGTGCTGTCACCCTCCGCTTCATCAGTAACTCCAGGTTCAATGGAAAGGGCTTCCAGCTGTACGTGACCACGTTCCATGAAGGTGAAGAAACTTGAGCACACCTGTAACCTGCATAAATGTACACATACATAGCTCCTTTCTGTAACCTGCACACCTGCATACCTGTACACCTGCATCCATGGACACCTGTACACCTGCATACATGTATATAATAGTTTTACACCTGCATATCTGAACACCTGTATAGCTGCACACCTGCATACCTGTAATATTGCATACCTTACACCTGCATACCTGCACACATGCATACATGTACACCTGCTTACTTCAACACCTGCATACCTGTACGTCTGCAAATATGCACACCTGTACACCTTCATACATATACACCTGCACACATGTAGATAGTCAAATTACCACAAACTCGGAACACAAGAACCAATCTCGCATTATAATGTTTGGCGCCCGCTCTGGCTTCAATGATAGCCCGAGTTCATGTTACCCTGTGCTGAAATACCGAATAAGTAACTCTGACAAAAACATGTGTTGTTAGTTTGTATCTACTGCCTCCTTGTCGCTGTTACGGGTGGCCCAGCTGGGTAAGGTCAGACGTCTCAGTTTCACATACAAAAGTAGCGTGTTCCCAATTATTTTGGGGGAGGGGATCTATCAGCACACTGTCGTATTGAAACACTGTAGAGAACCTGGATACGGGGAAGCGGAATGTTCGTGTAAAAACGACTGTATGCATAACATACGCACTTTGGAAGCCTCGTGTCCATTTCAAACAAAGGACCGATCATTTAATATATGTGGGAGTGACCTGGGGTTTTGTATGGATATTTGTTCACTTACAGCTGCAAAACCAGGTATATGTTTTATTAAAACTACTAGCCTGAATATTCTGAAAAAAAACTTTGCAACAGTGTAATATTTGTGGCAAACAATTTCTATTTTTTTTCCAACAGTCTGAAGCACAATTACTTTGTTCAAGCTATTTCGGGAATAATTTTGTTTTCGACAAAATTCGAGTCCCACAATCCCCAACCCCATACCACAGAACATCAAATTGCCGGTTTAAGTGATCGGTTACACATTCAGGATTTTTACTGCCGTGCTTGATAGGACCATTCACAATTAAAATTTGTCAAAAGTCTGATGAGGAGCCAGTGATTCGTGGCGGGAAATTCACAAATTTGTAAAAACAAATTAATTACGACAATAATGAGATATTGTTTAGGAAGCGTCCCGATTCAGCCGTCTCCAACCGAATTCGTCCCGGTTCTCCCGTTTTCAATTCGAAACTGATCCAACTTGTATCTTCCGCGTGGTAAAAAACGACCGAATCTGTCCCGACAGCGTCCCGATTCTCCCGAATGCTATCCGACAGAGATCAGACAGTGACCGGACAGTGAACCGACAAAGACTCGGCAAGATCTTGACTCAAGAAACGGCAATGGACAATTTCTCAAAATCATGCCCGTTCATCACGACAGCGTCCCGATACACAGGACACCGTCCAGACAACACAGGACATTGTTACGAGTTTGATCCGATACAGCAAAATCTTTCACGACATAGTCACGATTACAATCCTACAAGACAAAAGCGGCTGAGTTTCCCGAATGTTACGGGACGCACCATACTGTCGGGAGTGATTGACCGACCTCTCAGGAACTTTCCCGATCCGTAGGACTCTGTTACGAACAATAAGACTCGGACAATGAGAGGACATTCCAGATCATTGAGGATAGTGATCACTTTTCGTGTCGTAGCTCTGTCTGATCTCAAACGGGAGCCATAATCGGCACTCTGTGAACGCAGCCTAGAAGAGTGAGTGAATGAACCCAGTTATGTCAGCTTAATGTGGCAGAGACGCCCCACCTGGATCATACTGCATCACTTTGGTTGTGGCTATTGTCCTGACAACCCAAGGAACATAATCTTGGCGAACCTGGGATTCGAAGCCACAACCATTGGATCCTGGAAAGGCTACGGGACGTAATTATGCGCAGCAAAGTACGGCGTGGATATCCTTGTCCTCATTTATATGTAAATTTGGATTGGTTTCAAAAGGTTTCATGATTGACATGACATCTCCAAATTTGACGCAGCAATGGAAATAATGGTGTCCGATGCAGTTCCCTATTTTGATTTGTACCATATGTTCCCTTGTATATTTTTCAGATGAACAGACCCGTGAAGATCCGGGGTAGAATAGGTCCTCAGCAACCCATGCTTGCCGTAAAAGGCGACTATGCTTGTCGTAAAAGGCGACTAACGGGATCGGGTGGTCAGGCTTGCTGACTTGGTTTATGCAAGTCATCGATCCCAATTGCGTGGATTGTTGCTCATGATATCAATCACTGGATTGTCTGGTCAAGACTCGATTATTTTACAGACCGCCGTCATATAGCTGTAATATTGCTGAGTGCGGTGTAAAACAACATACCAACCAACCAATCAGATGAACAATTGACTTACCTTTGCATGTGTTTGTGACGGGTGCAGGATACAATCACTTTTCCCCGAACACCTGGTATCATTGATAGAGATTCATATACACATGCTCATGATAGTCATCAGCGATTTCATATTAATTACGGAAATTTTTTTTTGGTCGCTTTTATTTCGATAAAACTGCACAGTGATATGGAATAACTGAATCATGCTCACCAACATGTCATGGTGCCTAGGGTACAACTCATTAATACGTCTATGTTTGTCAGGTACATGTTCAGATGGAGAGATTGCGTGTCTCAATGGACGCTGTGTCTCTGACGCTGTCCGCTGCATCAAGGGAGATAAGTGTGAGGATGGTTCCGGGCAGTGTGTCACAACGTTATCGCCTCCGGTCATCGTCGGCTTTGTCGTCGGAGGGGTCATCATTATCATCACATTCGCTCTGGCCTTCCTGATCCTGTGGTATTTCAGAAAATATCGTCTGGGCGATGTTCAATGTAGACAGGTATGAGACCCAGGGAGCCATATTCACTTAATACCAACACGTTCACCTTTGTTTAAAGCTACAGTAAACTACGGTTATAACGAACACGCTTATAACGAACTGACGGATATAACGAACTTACGTTTTAGTCCCGACTATTTGCTGTGGTTATGCTGTATATATGCTTATAACGAACTACGGTTATAACGAACTAAAATTAGTAGTCCCTTTGAGTTCGTTATAACCGTAGTGTATTTGTTTCAGAGCGGCTTTAAACCACACTCACTTACACCTGACAACTATGCCTGGCCCAAAATAACTACATTCGCCGTGACCAAGCTTATCCATTAATATAAGATAGCTACGCGGTAAATCGCAAATAACAATGAAGAACGAAGCGTGGTATATTTCACAATAAAACATTGTTCTATCATGACGTCATTTCTGGAGTTTCGAATATGGGCTCTCAACTTGACGACGTCGTAAATTGGACGACGTTAACTTTGATGGAGAAGTATCTAGTAGGTTGTTCCTAATAGATGTAGCTTGGCAACAAGTATAAATGCAATGGACGGACGATCGCATCGAAAAGTAGGAGAAATATGACAACTGGTATGGGGAGGTACAGATAAGCGACTGGAAAATTGTGAGAATTTCCGGGAAATATGTGAGGAGGCAAATGTTTTATGTCTAAATGCGTATAAAATCAGATTCATATTTATATTTTAATTTCAAGGATTTGAAAATTTATTCAGTGAGAGAAATATTTCTGCTATGTATGAATGCATGAAGCGAATATAACCTTTCTTTTTAGGCTACATTTATGCAAATTTCTTTTTCATTTTCAGAACCAGCCCCGATACGCACAAAGGGACAATGTCTCAACAACACCGCCACATTTGCCACGTGATGCACGGTTGAACAATCATGGTGTCCCACCATCTCGACAAACTTCTTCCCATCTTCAGATCGTGACGTCACCACCGCCATACAGGGATATTGAGACATAGGCTTCAGCATCAGCGGCGAGCTATGGTACCGGACAGTACACACTGTGAAGCAATGGTCTGCTGTCTCATGCATATTGGTTTACATGTATATTGTTGGGTGTATATTTATTATTATAAACTATTTTACAATTGCTGTGATTTTGCAATCAGTTTTTCACCCGACACACAGCGGAGTCGTAACCGACTGTGGACTCTTCGTGTACAGCCCGGAGACTGAGTGAGTGAGTGAGTGAGTGAGTGAGTGAGTGGGTGGGTGGGTGGGTTGGTGGGTGGGTGGGTGGGTGAGTGAGTGAGTGAGTGGGTGGGTGAGTGAGTGGGTGGGTGGGTGGGTGAGTAGGTGGGTGGGTGAGTGAGTGAGTGAGTGAGTGAGTGAGTGAGTGAGTGAGTGAGTGAGTGGGTGGGTGGGTGGGTTGGTGAGTGAGTGAGTGAGTGAGTGAGTGGGTGGGTGGGTGGGTGAGTGAGTGAGTGAGTGAGTGAGTGGGTGGGTGAGTGGGTGGGTGAGTGAGTGAGTGAATGAGTGAGTGAGTTTAACAGTATCCCAGTTATATCACGACGTGCCAGCTTAATGTGTGAGGAAAGCTCGACGTTTACCACTTTGGTGAAACCCTCGAGCACGGGTACGGTGCTGACAAAACTACAAGCATAATCAGGGTGAACCGGGATTCGAACCACAAGCATATGTTTCTTGCATGATCAAGGGACGCAAATCTGCACAGGGAATTATGCCACTAAGCCAGTTTGGCTAGGCTAGTAAGAATTCAATGTGGACTAGACAAACCAGCGGTTGATATTATGAGCAACGTTCGGGATACCGCTGACACGCTATCAACAATGTCACCGAGCCTGACCCTCCGATTGGTTTACTTCCATTGACAAGACAAGCATATGGTGACAGGGTAGCAGTTCCACCCCGAGAGGGGCAGGTGTGAAGGTGAGTGAGTGAGTGAGTGAGTGAGTGAGTGAGTGGGTGGGTGGGTGAGTGAGTGAGTGAGTGAGTGAGTGAGTGAGTGAGTGAGTGAGTGGGTGGGTGGGTGAGTGAGTGAGTGAGTGAATGAGTGAGTGAGTGAGTGAGTGAGTTTAACAGTATCCCAGTTATATCACGACGTGCCAGCTTAATGTGTGAGGAAAGCTCGACGTTTACCACTTTGGTGAAACCCTCGAGCACGGGTACGGTGCTGACAAAACTACAAGCATAATCAGGGTGAACCGGGATTCGAACCACAAGCATATGTTTCTTGCATGATCAAGGGACGCAAATCTGCACAGGGAATTATGCCACTAAGCCAGTTTGGCTAGGCTAGTAAGAATTCAATGTGGACTAGACAAACCAGCGGTTGATATTATGAGCAACGTTCGGGATACCGCTGACACGCTATCAACAATGTCACCGAGCCTGACCCTCCGATTGGTTTACTTCCATTGACAAGACAAGCATATGGTGACAGGGTAGCAGTTCCACCCCGAGAGGGGCAGGTGTGAAGGTGAGTGAGTGAGTGAGTGAGTGAGTGAGTGAGTGGGTGGGTGGGTGAGTGAGTGAGTGAGTGAGTGAGTGAGTGAGTGAGTGAGTGAGTGAGTGAGTGAGTGGGTGGGTGGGTGAGTGAGTGAGTGAGTGAATGAGTGAGTGAGTGAGTGAGTGAGTTTAACAGTATCCCAGTTATATCACGACGTGCCAGCTTAATGTGTGAGGAAAGCTCGACGTTTACCACTTTGGTGAAACCCTCGAGCACGGGTACGGTGCTGACAAAACTACAAGCATAATCAGGGTGAACCGGGATTCGAACCACAAGCATATGTTTCTTGCATGATCAAGGGACGCAAATCTGCACAGGGAATTATGCCACTAAGCCAGTTTGGCTAGGCTAGTAAGAATTCAATGTGGACTAGACAAACCAGCGGTTGATATTATGAGCAACGTTCGGGATACCGCTGACACGCTATCAACAATGTCACCGAGCCTGACCCTCCGATTGGTTTACTTCCATTGACAAGACAAGCATATGGTGACAGGGTAGCAGTTCCACCCCGAGAGGGGCAGGTGTGAAGGTGATTGCAACAACAGATACACATAACTGTACATACTTGCCATGTTTTATTTGAAATACGTGAAGTTTGAAACATGGATCACGTGTGTATGTACAATGCCATAGGCAACGGGCATCTACATCAACACTTCATACAAGAAGTTTTGACGATCTCAATGTAACATTGGTGCGTAACGCCATAGCACTGTATGAGGTCATCAGTGGAATTTCGCTGCACGTTAGCAATTGAGGGAACTATTTTAATACGAACGTGAATGTTTTATCCATTGTGGTTACGATATTTAAAAGTTAATTAGTTGTACTGTTATGCAAAACTTGAACAGTAATTCCCTGTGTTCAGTGAGTGATTTCCTGGTCTGAAGTCCTCGAGTTTCATCATAAGCTCTAGGGGCGGTGGGGTAGCCTAGTGGTTAAAGTGATTCCCTACATGGGTACAATGTGTGAAGCCCATTCCTGGTGTCCCCCGCCGTGATATTGCTGGAATGTTGCTAAAAGCGGCGTAAAACCATACTCACTCACTCTTGACAACAGTATCAGGATCTATACCGACACGTCGCTATCACAGTATAAAAACCTAGGCCTATTGTCTATTTTGTCATGAGTGGCAAATTCTGATTTTATCGACGAGGGATCCAGGATATTTTTCTGGCGCCGCCGTGATATTGCTAGAATGTTGCTCAAAGCGGGGTAAAACAATACTCACTCACTCACCCATAATAAAGAACATATGTCTTAAAATGACAAGCAGCATAATCTCTCCACTTATACACTGCAGACGTTATTAAACATTAATATATCGTGATTTGTTTCAACACAGTCGGTAAACGCGATAATGTGTCGCAGTAAGTTCTGGTCCATTGTCTGGTTCGTGTCCAGGCCGCCATCGCATGACAGGGGCACTCATATATGTATACACTTCACCAGTCTGTTTTTTGCGCACATCGGATTCTGTTTCGTCGGATACTCGAGACGTGTTATTCTCTGGCGTTGACGTTGTATATTCCCCATATACTTCTACAGTCAAGTGTGTATATCGCGGAGCATTTTCATGTAACATGCGCCTCACAATGTGCTCAGTACCCTTTTCTTTATTGGGAAAGTACGATTAAATTTGATAGATTTTGAAAATACCTCTCTCAGCTAAAGATAGGTCCATTCTGTGAACATAGATCAGCGGACATTCTTATACTTCCACACGGGGATATAAATGAAATGTTTTAATAAAACGACGTTTGACAAACTGTATGTTCACTGGTTCACCGTCGGTAACACGTGGCCATAGGTGTATACCTCACTCTACACCAACCCATTCCTAACGTAAATGAACTAAGTGTCCTAAAGGTAAAAGACAATGCACACCAAGAGAATGTGAGTGAGTGAGTTGGGTTTAACGCCGCTTTTAACAGTATTCCAGTTATATCACGGCGTGTAAGCTTAATGTGGGAGGAAAGCCCGAATAATGCAGGTCTCAGACGTTTACCTCATCGGTGAAACCCACGAGCACGGGTATGGTGCTGACAAACCTAGAAACATAATCGGGGCGAACCGGGATTCGAACCCACAATCATAGGTTTCTGGCTGGCCAAGGGACGCAACTCTGCACAGCGAATAGCGGCGCCTTAAACGACTGGGCCACCCGTGCCCCCAACACCAAGAGAAACTTGTCAAAGTTGAAAGCAATTTTTGATACATTTGATATTTTACTATTTACATTTATATAATTTACAATAACCTTATATGTCTGTCAAACGTTGTTTTATAACTTATAATTGTTATACAAACATTATTCCTCACTGTACTCTACAGTTACATCTTCTACAAGGGATCAGTGTAGTACTCATCAGACAGTCGGTACAGATGAACACAAACAAACAAAGGTATGCCTCCGACAATTATCGAGATAAAAGATCATCGTATCTATATTGCTCCAGGTCGTGAAGCAATTTAGGCGTGAAATCCATATCTGATGTGTAATTGTGTGATCTCTAGCCACGAACAGTCTTCCTGTCACACGTCATCAGTGATGTGGAGGTGTGTGCTGGTCCTCCTGTGTTTAGGGGGAACTCGACCAGTGTTCTTCGGGGACAGTATCCGTGAAATAAAAGGTAGGCTCGATATCGCAAGTACTTGTTTCTACATACATATGTCCACTGACACTCACATATATAACCACAAGGTTGTTGTCATGTGGGGATAAGATATAAATACAGCGTTTGACTCATATTAATCCCAAATGACAACAGCCATTTATTTATTTATTTATTTATTTATTTATTTATTTATTTATTTATTTATTTATTTATTTATTTATTTACTTATTTATTTATTTGAAATAAACGACGTTTGGGAGTGGGAGGTGTTATGGTACAATAAAACACCAAACGGAGAATATACCAAGCGAATCGTTTATTTCTTATATGCGATATCAAAATTATGTACAGCCTCTTAAAGGATGTTGATAAAATGTACAAACTTTAAAAAATAGTTAGCTTAATTTTAATAATGTTGACTCCCAGGACAGAACCCGACCTCGACAACGTGGAACAAGTCCATTTTATGATCAGGTGTAGATGTAGATGTAGATGTGTTAAGTTTGGTACTTCCCGCATGTTTATTGCGTAGCTTTCTTATGTACATCATTATAACCCTAGCTACACGGGTATACACACATACAACTGTGTAGATGTCTTATGTACATCATTGTAACCCAAGCTACACGGGTATACACACATACAACTGTGTAGATGTCTTATGTACATCATTAGAACCCTAGCTACACGAGTATACACACATACAACTGTGAAGATGTCTCATGTACATCATTATAACCCTAGCAACACGAGTATACACACATACAACTGTGTAGCTGTCTCATGTACATCATTATAACCCTAGCTACACGGGTATACACACATACAACTGTGTAGATGTCTCATGTACATCATTATAACCCTAGCTACACGAGTATACACACATACAACTGTGTAGATGTCTTATGTACATCATTAGAACCCTAGCTACACGGGTATACACACATACAACTGTGTAGCTGTCTCATGTACATCATTATAACCCTAGCTAGCTACAT